ATGTTACGGAAGCCCTCATAGGACAAACATCCCAATGTGTTATTTTAAACTTTTCTCCATTTCTTTAGAATTTCAAGAAAACTGAAATTAAAGGAAAACTAGTTTATCTTGAGATGGAACACGTTGAGATCTCGAGAAAACAGCTGAAATCTATTAGTTAATGCATTAAAATGTGGTCAAAATAAAAGTATGAATGTGTCTACTTAGGGCTTCCATATAATCTCAGAAATATGATGACCGAGCTCCTCATCAGTGTTTTTGTTTTCTCTTAAGTTTCCTCTGAGGGACTCAGGTTTGGTCAACATGGTGAGCAGGATCTTCAGAGGTTCACTGTAGTCTGTTCATGTTGGGGGGTGTGTATGTGCTGTGAGTGCATTGGTGGGTGAGTGCTTAAGACGTTTTTAATGCCCTGGTCGTTTTCCGGTTCTACCTGACAGACGAGCTGTCACTGCAACTTGCAGAGATCCTCCAGCAGGTGGCGCCTCTGCAGGATCTTCACGTCATGTTTAAACCTCGATGCAGAGTGCAGGTGTGTTCAGGGTCTGTTTATTTCACTGCAGACATTTTGATGGTTCTGTTAAAGTTCACACAGTCTGACCCTGAAGATGAAGAACAGAATCCAGTCCTCACACATCTCAACATGAAGCGAGGTGTGAAATGAGTTCTGTGAGAAAAGGTCCAAGTGTTCCTTAAACAGGGATTGATCACTATTTGATCAAACTCTCTCTGTGTCAAATATATATTCATTAAGTTCATCCTCTCAGCTTTTAGATGTTCAGTGTTTGTTCCTGTTTAGAGTTAAACATAAATCTGTCTCCATGAAAGCTCAGTCTAAACCTGGTGAACCCAGAACCCTCACCGCTCTGAACAGCTCGAGTTCATGCTGCTAAAACATTAAAGCTATAAATCACAGTTCTAGGAAACTCTGCATTCAAACTTATACAAAAAACTCATGACCCTCCCCCCCCCCCCCCATGTTTCTATCTTTGAATCCTAAAGTTCATGTTACAAAAGGAGCCGCTGTGATGAAAACACATTTCAGACTTTCCCATCAATCATATCAGGAACTCGAACAGACACCAGGACCCTTTCTGAACAGTCTCACAGTTCAGTAGGCAGTACGTACTTTTCAGTATGGAGTTTCAGTATACTGAACTTTCGTGGTCATTTAGTATGCATTTTTTGGGTCCACCTCAGTATACTGAACATTTCAGTATGGATACTAACTTCCGGGTTTCATGCAGTATGGATCGGATGCATCCTTTCAGGAAATGAATTGTGTTTTACCACCCACAATGCTGTGCGAAATTAAATAAATCATAAGTCATCACGTCAAGTCCGCCTCCAAATCAAAACAAACAAGCATGGATTAATTGAAACAATTTTTAATCTAGAGTTAAAAGTCCCGACTGAAATCACTACTTTTAATTAACAGAAAATATAAAAAATGTCTGCATTATTATAAAACCTTTCCCCCTCTATTTAAATAATGATTTAACTATTTATTGGTCATCTTTATTGGTTTATTTTACTTTATATTCTCTATATTAGTCTTTCATTTGTACTTTTCTTTATGTACTGTATGTTATTTAGTTATTTAATCTGTCTTTTACTTGATTTACATTGTGATATTGTTTTGTTTAACCTGACTGTATATGTGCATTACTCTTCTTGAAGAAAACTAAACAAAAAAACAAAAAAAAACAAACGGGTGAATGCGGCCGGTTCGGGTAACGTAAATGACGTCACTTCCTGAATGAATCAGATGAAATAGGAACAAATATCTGCCTGTGCGTGCGTACTAAATAGTAGGTACTAAACAGTATACAGCACGGATAGTAGGTACTGACTACTGACAGATTGAGTAGGTACTTGGTAATTCGGATACGGCTGTATCTGAATTGCCAAGTACCTACTCAATCTGTATACAGAAACTCCATACTGAATAGTACGTACTGCCTACTGAACTGTGACAATTCAGAAAGGGCCCTGGTACTCTGAAGTTGGTCCTGTGTTGGTGAAGGTCACGCTCACCTCCATTTACTGTTTCTAAATCATTTCATTCTCCCCTTTTGACCTCTGAAGATATTTTAAGATTGTTAACCTGCACAGGTACGAGACATTTCAAACATGAATAACAGCAGATAACAAATATATCTGTGAGTAACGACAGCATTTAAAAGTATTTAAAGGTTTAATGAGTCATTCAGAGAAATGTCCAGTAGGTGTTGCCTGTCTCTATCGGAAGTCGCCACTCTTCATATTTAGCCACCACCCACAATCGTAGAATATGGAAACCACCTGGACGCTTCTACTCTACTCTCACCAATTATTGTGCTAAATTAGAGGCCTCAGCACATCCTCATAGAGCGGGAGTTACATCCAGTAACTATTATTTTCTACGACTGCTCTTCATTCTGATCTGCAGCACAAAGAACTTCAGTAAAAAAAAAAAAATAAATAACTGAAGGAAGCCCCACCCCCTCAGTGTGAACACAGCACTAAGAACAACAAATCCCAAGGGAGTTTGACTTCAGTCTTTTCTCTATTTTTGGGAGAGGCATTACTAACCCATAAATTTGAAATCTGCCACTTTATTTAAAATGTCATATTTTATAGCTTTCAATGTTTTAAGGAACCGAATGGATTCACGAGACCGCTGATGTTCCCTGGTCTCCGGAACATGTCTGAGCAGGTTTTAGCTTCGTTAGTTGAACTCATTTCAGGGTCTCTGTTTGACCACCTCACACTGTTGTTTTTATCAGTTTCATAACAATGAATCTAACTGATAAATTAAACGTACTGAGCTCGAGCTGCTGCCAGGAGAAGAGGGATGTAAACGAGTGTCATTCAAAGATTATAATCATATTTCTGTTTTTAATCAGCACGTTGAACTATCCTGCCAGTTTGACACTTCAATGATCTCCATTTAACATCTGAGAGCAGCAGACACTTAGTGGTTTTATTATTTGTGAATGTTTATAGCTTTCCTGCAGACTCGTCTTCTGTCTCCTAAACAGCTTATGAAAACACAACGTTCAGCTGTTAGAACATCTGCTGACCTGAGCGCTAACGTCATGAACCCTTCACGTTGCTGCTCTACACAAACTCAAGTGTAATGGCGACACTTCATGATGTCACAGGGTTTATTAGCCAGGCTAGGTTTCAGCTTACAAGTTTTTTCACCGCTGACCTCCAAACATTTCAAAAAGGTGATGACTGTTTGTAAGGAGTCAAAGGTTGTTGTTTGGATTCTCTCTAAACTCGTCTTTAAAATACAGAATGACTCCTTAAACGGCGCGAGAGCTCCATGCTAGCTGCTCTCTGCTTCAGAACAAAAACATCCAGTTCAACAAAAAGACTCTTACTGGTTTAATAGAACATCTATATCTTTTTTTATGTGTCTGTGTTTTATGGGGTTTCCTCAGTGAGGTTAGCTGCACCAAGTGAAGCCCTGAGATACAAACAGAGGAGCGGCACAGGTCAAAGAAGTTCACCATTATCAGGGGGTGAAGTCACTTTTGATCTAACAGCTCACACCAGCTGAGTTGCTTTGAAAGTTTAGTCCCTGCTGTATTTAGTGATCTACCGGGCCTCTGTCATGATTAAAAAGATATTTGGCTCAAGGCAGACGGCAAACCAAGTCCTCAATCGGGACCGGTGCTCGACTTTGAGTCATGAACTGACCACGTCTGCGTTTCAGTTTTTAAAGCTGTGGAATCAGAAAACGAACCAGACAGATAAACGCTGGTCGCTATGTGGAGATGTGGGCGGAGCCACAAGTCTTGAGATGAGGGCATAAACATCTTCACAGAAAAAATATTTATTCAGAAATATTCAAAGTTTAAAGGCCAGATTGAGATATTAATTCATCTTTTTTATTTACTGGTATAAATCACCAAATCATAACAAAAGGTCACCTCAGGTGTAGACTGGACTCTTTGTTACGTCGGTGACAAAACGTTTACAAATGCTAAAGTAGACTAGCGACGTGTCGGTCACAAGCGAGCCAGCTCCTGTTTGAGAGCTCCTCGCCGCTCAGCCAGACGCACCTGGTGCTCGGTGTTCTCACATTAAAGTTTCATACCAAACGTCATGGACAATAGTTCTTCTGGGAATTAGGAATGCTTTCAGTAAAACACGGGCACACTTATCTAAAACAGGTCTGATCATGCCTACATGTGGCTGGTTGAGTGAAGCCAAAATTATGTCAAATGAAATTCTGAGTCGATGGAGCTCTTTTTTACGGAGCTGAGCCGAACGATCCGGATCACTAGAAAGAGCCGGACTTCCCATCTTTAATCTAGACCTGTATCTGGTTTAGGATTACATATAAATGGCCATTATCAGGATTTAAAGGATTACATTGTGTGTGATGTCATTATGGAAATAAAGAGATTTAGATAACTTTCAGCTGAAGTTTGACTAAATTACAAAGACATCGTATTTCCTGTAAAATCTTCACAATAAAAGCATCACACTTTTTTAGCAGCTAATAGTGTGAAGAATGTGGGAGTACAGGGTGGAGAAGTGAGACTGAACGTGTGTTTTCATCACCGGTCTGCTGCCGTCAGTCCTGCTCCTCTGCAGGTATCTGAACATGTGATATCAGGACTTAGCATGGAACAGCTCGACCCTCTATGGTTCTAATGTTAGAAAGTAAGGCTTAGAAGAAAGACCTGGGGGGTCACATGAAGTACGTAGACTAAAACCTGGGCTGGATAATAAACCCCCTCATGCTCCGTGCTTCCTCTGGCTTTCTGTTTTTGAAAACCTTTACCAGACTTGACCCAAAAGTTGAGGAAAAGTAAGACGTTTATCGGCAGAGAGCTTGCTGTTCAGAGAGAGAAAAAGAGAAGCATTAATATCAAAGGTACACATCAAGTCAGAGAACAGATATTTCAGATAAGTGCTTAATAATGAAAATAAGATTTATTTGTTCAACATTTCTCAGAGGTCATTTACCACCAGAGAAATCAAAGTTATTTACACATTTACATGTTGTTACACTCAAAAACTGGCTGTCATCATTTCAAGCAGATTGTTTTTAATGTATCAGGCCAGCATGTTGATAGAAACAGTTCATAATCAGAAGTATAAATCCTCTTAAGAGTAGAGCTGTAGATGTACAGCTACAGGTGTTGTGGAGTATTGATGGAAGATAATTAATGAATACCATTTGTTACCGATACTACCTTTAAAAAAATACCAGGCCGTGTTGGCAGCTGCTGTCCAGCCTCTTCCCCTTCCACCAGCAGAATCCACTTTAGCATAAAGAAAAATAGGTGGCGCTAAATTAAAGTATTCTTCTGTACAATGGCGACGGTTCACAAAGAGATCAATTCTTAACAAACAAAATATAGAAACACTTTTTTTTTTTCCCCCTCATTCCCAATTTGACGACGTACTTTTCTCTCTCTCTTTGTGGACCTTCACCTTTAACATTACATCTTAACATTCAGGACGCTTTGATTTAACTCTTAATTACACGTTAACTCAAATCAAAAAATATTTAAGTACTCAAAGTCCTCTTAATGGGAACAGGAAGTTTATAAAAATCAAAGTACTGAGGTGGCTGCTGAGCACCCCCATCCTGTGAGAGACAACAACACAAGGCGTTTCTTGTCTGATCCTTACCATGGAGCCAGGCAGGTAAAGGTGTTCAGAGAGCAGCTCAGCCCGCATGGTCGATCAACCAATACCTAGAAGAAACTGTCAACAAGGTTTAGCAGTAACGTGTACTCAAACATTATCACAACAACACATGCACATTCTGCAGTTCTCAGGTTAATCAAGTGTTCATCCAGCCTGTACAGTTCAGTCTGAATATCTGAAAACAGAGACAAGTACTTGACCCTACATTTTGAGCGACGTGCTTGCACTCTCTGCACACTTGGTGCAGAACTCCACCGACACGTGGTTCTTGTCCACGTGCAGACACACGCCACCTGATGTCTCTTTCTCCTCCACTTTCACACGCTTCCTGGGTAACGCGTAGTCGTGGTCGTTGGAGTCGTGCCCCTGGAAAAGCGAGGAAGATAATTTCATCCCGTTCACACCACTCAGCCTGGACAAGAGTTGGGCTAACATGCTCTCATTGGCCAGCACAGCCCTCAGGTACCTGGTCTCATCTTCCAACTCCTCCACCCTCTTGGTCAGCTGACTGTTCTCCTGTTTCAGCCCGGCATTTTCCGTTGACATGATCCCGACTTTCTTCTCTAAGCTGTCGACGTATTCTTTCTTCCTCAGGCGATTCATTCTGGCAGCAATGGCATTTTTGTTGATCACGTTCCTCGATTGGTTTTGTCTGTTCTTGATCTTCGCGTCAGATTGCGTTCTGTCCGGAGAGGAGCCTGTCGAAGCTTCAATCCCGGAGTCTTGATCCTTGGCACTGTACACCCCAAAATCAGCCAATTCAATATCGAAGAGTGGAGAAGCAACATCTTTCTCAAGTGTCCATTTCAAGTCTTCTATTCCAAACAGGTCCTCCAGCTCTATTCCAGTGGTGTCGATATCGTCGGCCAGGAAACTCTCGGTCGGACTTGGGAGATCTTCATCAGTTTCCACAGTATCTACCACCTCAACCTCCAGAGACTGCACCTCAGAGGTGGTCACGGAGCGACCTCTTCTTCTGGTGATCATTGTGCTGTGACTTCGGGACTGCAGGGACGCTGTGCACAAAATACACAAGATTATTCTTTCCCTGTGGAGACAAAGACAACATACTGTTAGGGTCAAAACCTGCAGCAATTCTTTGGTTAATTTATCAAGCACATTTTTATGGACATTACTTTTGTTGAGTGAGGCTCAGAAACAAGGGAAAACAAGATATCTATATTCAAGGTACCACTTGTAATTAATGCAAATATGTGTGTGTGTGTGTGTGTGTGTGTGTGTCGTCAGACAAACGTTATCCTGCTTCAGTCCGGGCCTGTTAGCTTTAGCTTTAGCAATGCTGTAAATTAATGACTGCTCTGTTCACCTGTCGGTTACACACCTCAGTCACTGCGCACACACTTTACACACATGTTCGACATTTAATTGTTTTAATTTAGATCGTTATTGTTATTATTATTATTTTAGGGGTCGAGGCTTTAACCGGCTAACAAGGCCTCAGCCTGTCCTCATGTTTACTCACTAATATAACTTCTTAATGCTTTAATACACTAAAACAAATAAATCCAGGTTAACTACAGTAACTTAACTTAACTTTGAGTGTGTCTGTGGAGATATATCTAGTTAATAAAACCGAACAGGACGGAATGACGCAGCACTTTTTTTAACGGTGATAAACTTACCGTCCCGTTTGAAACAATAACACGGATTAAAACAAGAAGTATCCGAAGACCTCGACGAAACTCCTGCAGGGTTTCAGAACAGTTCCTCTCAAACTCACTGGACTCACAAAGGACGACGATGGCGCCTAAAACGATCTGCGAGGACGAGACCGAAAACCCAGCGAAGAAGACTCTTCTCTTTCCCTCTTCTTCAGTGGTTTTTAGTGGCGTTGGCATCCAAATATGTTAAATTACCGCCACCTACTGGTTTTACACAAATCTACAGTCTCCGAACTACATTTCTAAATAAAGAACAACATGATGTTAATTTGTACAGTCTGTGGTAATGGTGAGAAAAACTTATTTTATTTCATTTGAGTTCATCTTCTTTTCAAAATTAGAATATGTTTATGTATAAATATGTACATATTTGATTATGGGTATGTGGGTGTACATCATGTACATACACACACATACGGACAGTTCATACAATTCTAGATGTAAATAATGAAAAATATATTTTACCTTCATTTATTTATTATTATTATTATTATTAAAAATATTTCCTTCTAGCTCTTATTTTTCAAATTATTTTACTGTTGTTGTATTTTGAGCTTTAACGCGTTAATTTTCCTCCAATGGGGGATCGATAAAGATGATCTTATCTAATTTGAAAACAGCAACTTTGACCTTTTCCAGTTCCTGCTGACATTTTATTTGAAAAAAAAAATCTGCATCAATCATTAGAAAAAACTTCAGTCGTTGCAAACTGAGCGGCAACTTCTCCCCTTCAGATGCTGAAACCAGATTCTTTAGAGTTCTAAATAAAGACTCTTCTGTCGTTAAAGTGACGGACTATTCAATAACTTTGATTTATTATAATCCTGCAGAAAACTATGTCTATAGATTTGCTGTTTTTAACTTTATAGAAAAGAGAACCAACCAGACAATTCATTTCCACTTCACTCTTTATTAATCATTTTTTAGGCACAGAGGTCAAATGTTTATCACCTGTAGCTTCCTAATGTGACGATTTGCTTTAATTTAAATTTATTTCAGTAAATTAAGAGAGTTTGAGGTTCAGACTGAACTCTGATATCATACAAGTCTGAATCAAACAATATCAACAACTGTTTTGATACCACAAAAATAGAAGTCCTACACAACGATCCTTTTTAATGATCAAATGTTGCAAAAAACAAACTTCCTCAGACTGTCTAAAGTCCTCAAAACATTTACAACACACCAAAAGTTTGCAAAAGTTTTGGTGCAATTGAGACAGTGTACAAGTTTGCCTGCAACTTTTGATGGTTTCATTCCCCTCCTACACACCTGTCTTATGAAATAGATGGGTGTTGGTATTTTTTCGATGACACCATTTATTTAAAAAGCACACAGATTGCATCATTTATAACACCTGGTAACAAGAGTAAGGGACATTTGAACCCCTTCACATGTTGCAGTCCTGGTTAAGTGTATTAGTTTGGAATATAACTTCACACAGACAAAAAGACGGTTCAGTTCAACAGTGTCCCAGCAGCTCATAGCTTTTATTTCACAGCTTCATAACTCGACTCAGAACAGTTTCAATCCAGTCTTCAGTTTGTTCACGTCACTGTGGCTCCACAGAAGACCTTCAGATGTCCTCATAGGTGCAGAGACTCCGGCCGCGGTGTGTGTGGTGCTGCTGCTCTCCAGCTCCACCGGCTGGTCAAACACGGTCATTGTGGAGTAGTTCTCCACCATGAGGCACGAGGGGTCCTCGGACTGTCCGGGGATTTTACCCAGAGGGAAGTTCTTCCACAAAACTTTATCCACACACACCTGCCAGGGAGAGCCTCGCAGCAGCTCTGCTTTCTCATGAACATCTGAAGACTTGTGCTCCTGTGAGGACTCGCTCCTCTCCAAGTCGGCCCTGGAGCGACGGGCGTGGCTGTGGCGCCGGGAGTGCTGCAGCTTCTCGTGCAGGCTCTCCAGAGTGTAGATGGGCTGTTTGTACTGTGGAGGAGGAGCAAGGTCTGGGGGAGCAGACTGGGTGTAGATGGAGCAGAGCTGCAGCAGCCTCTGCCGGGTGTCTAGAGGCAGAGGGTGCTCCATGTCGTCCAGAATCAGCTGCAGTAGGTGAGGCGTGGAGGTGCAGGGGGCGTCGAGGCATGCAGAGAGCAGCTGCTGCCACCTCAGCTGGATGCGGTTTACAAAGATCCTGTCCTTCATCCGGTTCTTCTTCTGCACCTTTGTCTCAAAGTGAAACTCAAACTTGTTGCTGTTGCAGAGGAACACTTCAGAAATCCAGGCTGAGATGTAGAAAACTCTGTGATTGTTCTGCTCCGTGGTGAGCAGCTTCAGCTCCACAAACAGCTTCTCCAGCAGCAGGTGGATGAACGACGGCGAGTTAAGCATCTTCAGGAGGGGCAGCCAGAACCGCAGGAAGGTCTGAGGGAGTCTGGGTTCAGTGAGGCTGTCATCGTCGGGAGAGTCGCAGCCTAAAGTCTGCAGCTGCTCCATCGTGGGAACCAGAAACCCGTCTTCCAACAGAGCGTCCACCAGCAGACCACTCGACTCCACAGAGAACTGTTTGATCTCAGCCAGGATCCAGCTCATGTCAGCCAGGGGAGCGGGCCACGCGCTCCTCCTCAGCTCCTCCTGCAGACCGTCACAAGTCTTAAACTGCTCATTCTCGAACGAGATCAGCAGCTCCCGAGCCGTCTTGTACGCCTCCATCTCTTTCTGCTTGGCGAGGAGCTCGTCCTCCTGGCGCTTTAAGTCCATCTCCTCTTCGTCTAAGTCTGATTGACAGTCCCAGCCCTCATTAGCCCCGCCTCCCAGCTGCCTGGACCAGTACTCCTGCTGGAGCCAGTCCAGAACCACCTTACATCCCTTTCGACACCACTTCAGAGTGGGCATCTTCCGGTGTGTGACGTCATGCCTCAATTCCACAACCCACTCCGGGATGTTCAGGTTTCCGGCCAGCCTCCTCAGAGGCCGAGCCGTCCTCCCCTGCTGTCTCTCGGTGATCTGGTTCACAAACCTGACCAAGGCCGCTCCGTACAGCAGGACCAGGTCGTCCCCTCCCACCTGTCCGGACCGGTCTAACACCTGACACCGGACCAGGTCCGCGGTGCAGTCCACTGCCACCGGGGTGCTGTTGACGTACCGAGCCTTCCAGGCGGAGATCCTGTTCAGGGCGTACCTCTGTAATCCCGGGTCTTTGGAGTACAGGTACTCCAGTACCTGGTCCCACTCCGCCTTGTTGATCCAGGACACCACATGGCGCTTCTTCTCCGAGCTCCTCTTCTTCATGGTAACGGGGTGGCACGTGCAGACGAGAAGACGGGACTTCCGGTGACACTGAACATAAATAAAGATCTTAAAGATATAAAAACTCCGCTCCACTCACACACACGGACTTTTTTAATCCGTCATTAATCAGATTTTTCTCACAGCGGGACAAATACATGGATATCGAATGTTTTGCATCCAGGAAGTGACGTATTGACTTTTTCTTCTTCTTCTGGGGGTATATTGGCGGTTGGGGCGTGTTTAGGTTCATAACTGCCACCTAGTGGACTGGAGTGTGTCCTCATCATAGACTAATAGAGAAGCAGAAAGATTGATATTATAACGAATAAATATTCTTAAATATTTCTGCTTCTCTTTAGTAAGTGACGTCACTGGTTGTTATACACCCCGACTCCCCTATGAAGATCAAATATAGGCTACGTTATTGATCCCTTCTTATGGGAAATGTACAAAGTAGTAAATATTACAAAGTATATTTATGATAAATAGAACACATGATTAAAAAGATTACAAACATAGTTATAATTCCGGGGTCCTGAAGGTCCAAAATGTTTAATCATACGTACAAGATAACACACATCAGCAGGTAAGAAAACAAGTTTCATGTGTAGACCAGAAACTATCACGTGAGGAAGAGAAGGTATTGCGTGCTCTTTCAGGATTTCAGGGGCTCTGTAAAAAAATAAATGTAATTCCTTTAAATACATAAACTACGTTCAGCTTCACTTTTGGGAAGATGAACTTTGTTATTTTCATGTCCAAGATCAGTACAGGTTATCGCTTCTACCTTTATATCAGTGAAACAGTGACACTGCTTATTGTAAATTATAGTTTTTAAAATGTGAATGTTTGAAACAATAAAACACTCCTTGTCAAATCTTTTAGCTTTTCTTCTTTCAAAAATAAACTATAAAATATTTTTCTTAATTAGGATATTCAGACAAATAGTTAAACACAAAAGATAAATATAACTGCAATAATTGACACTAAGCCCACAGTGTGTTTATATTGTATATTTTTAATATTTTATTTATTTAGCTGTTTTTCTATCCCAATGTACCCTCACTGCTTTGTACCTGTGCAAATGGCAATAAACATCTATTCTTTATCATTCTTTTTTAAAACGTAATTTTCATCGCTTCCTCTTCAGTCCAGTAGGTGGCGGTAAAGCGCCACTACGCTGTTCTGCCAAACAACAATAAATACCACCGAAGAAGAAGTTGGAAAGTTTGTTTGGAAAATGGCGGGTGCTTTGAAGGAAGAGGAACTCGCTCGACGTGTTTATGCTTCTCTTCAGGTAAAAGGAGACAAAGTTAAATCATATCTGAAGGTGTTTAATATTTAAAGGCTGTGTAACGTCTGCTGACATGTTTGTCCGGGGTCGAGTCGAAGTTTAAATCCGACATTTTTCTCTTACAGACGAGCAGAGGAAATGTGTTTAACTTTCTCTGATCTTAGTCATAAAAACATTTTCTTCAAATCAGAGATATGTTTCTAAAGACGGAACCTGAAATTTAAAGAACTACATCTAAAGAACTACATCTAGAACTACATCTAGAACTACATCTAGAGAACTACATTTAGAACTACATCTGGAGAACTACATCTAAAGAACTACATCTAGAACTACATCTAAAGAACTACATCTAGAACTACATCTAAAGAACTACATCTAGAGAACTACATTTAGAACTACATCTAGAGAACTACACCTAGAACTACACCTAGAGAACTACATTTAGAACTACATTTAGAACTACATCTAGAGAACTACAGCTAAAGAACTACATCTAGAACTACATCTAGAGAACTACATCTAGAACTACATCTAAAGAACTACATCTAGAACTACATCTAAAGAACTGCATCTAGAACTACATCTAGAGAACTACATCTAGAGAACTACATCAGGAACTACATCTAAAGAACTGGAGGTGTGCAGGAAAGGAATAAACTAAACATCTTAATCTCGATTATTGAGTTATTTTTATCGATTGATATTGAGATCACAATTATTAAACGTGATTACTTGTTGATTTGATAACATCTGGATTACATGAATTAATCATAATTAAACACCCTGCACACTTAGAAAAATAAGCAATCAATGAATATAAATCAGTAAAAAAATAGAAATAGATTGTTATTTTAACATCAGTATTGTCTCTAATATTAGGCTTTAAAATGTCAATAAATGTGGCTGATGTTAATCGTAGTTATACGTGATGTCTTCATGAATTATTATTTGTAGAACTCGGCAGGTGTGCATTAAATCATCTGGTAACTGAACCTCCTGTCCATGTTGTGTCCTTATGAAGGCACTGTGCTGCCCCCTGGTGGACGGTCTGTACCTGCAGGAGGCAGACAGCATGCTGCAGCTCCTGTGTTCTCCATCTCAGCACCGCACAGACATCCTGTCCTGGATCTGCAGCAGGTAGAATAATCTCCAACATCACTCTTCATCTTTTATATTTAAAACATTATAAATATATTTTTTTTAAAACTTGTGTTATTTCTCTTGACAGCATCAATCCAAACTTTGGTAACTCGAAGGTGAGGTTGGTGAGATCCAAAGACCCAGAAGATTTGACTAAAGGTAACACTGATCACTTTCCTCTTGAGCATCTTTTATATAAACCTTATCAAAGAGTGAAACCTGCTCAGTGACGGTGGTTGGTTGTTTTTACTTCCTTCAGACGTTTTAATTGATGTGGTTTGTTTCTGAACATAGACATGGTTTCGCTCGGACACGAGATGATGCTGTGCAAAGCAAACGACCTGGACCTGATCAGGGTAAGAGACCCGAGTCCATGTTATTCATTAATCATTAGAATATAAAAACATACAGTGTGGTTGAGTCTGTGACGACCTGTCCTCCAGGGCCATGCGAGTCCTTGCAAGCAGCTTCGGTTTCTGGAGCAGCTCTTGTCTTTAGTCCCGGGCTGCACGAAGTCTGCAGGACGACGGACGGACACAGAGATGCTTCTGAACGAACTGTACGCCGCAGAGAATCTGCCGCTCCTCGCTCAGATGCTCGAACCCTCCTTTGACCCCTGGCCTGCACACACCAAGTACCGGTATGTGGTCTCAGAGGATCCTGTTACACTTACCGGTCGTCTGTTTCGAGCTGCAGAAATATATATTTAAACATTATCAGGAAGAAAGTAGAACGATGGCCTCACATCTTTGTTCTTATTTTTGAAATATGATTTCAGTTGAGTGTTTCAGCAGCGAGTGAGATCGTCACAGAGTGTGTCGTTTGGTTGTGACTAGAAATCGAAGTTTGAAAAAGTGTCTGACCTCTGACCTCACAGGGCGTTACAGAAGAACGTTAAGTCATCGTCTAAACCCTCCAAAGAAGAAGAAGGAGCAGCTGATGTGGCGGCGCTGCTGCAGCAGACGCAGGACGCTCTGCAGCAGCTGCATTCAGAGGTGATCATGTGATGTCACTAACACACTCAGTCACTTTCACAGCGTGTGGATGTGGGCGCCACGTTCATATCGACCTCTGTCGTCTCCTCAGTGTGACTTCCTGAGCCATGGAGATCAGAGTCCCGCCGTCTTATCCCCGAGTTCGCTGCGTGTGGCGGCGTGTGACCTCCAGCAGCTGATGTCGACCTTCAGCCATGTTTACGAGTCAGACCTGAGGTCGTACTGCAGCAGAGACCCGCCCACTTTCAGCGCCGAGACCGATGTCTTCAAGAGAGTTCACAGACTACTGCTGGCCTTAATCACAGTACGCACACACACACATTCACACACACGAGGAAAATATGAATATCAACCTCACACACCTGACGTGTAGAAAGTGACTACTGATACTGTGTGTGTGTGTGTGTCAGGAACTAGATTTGATCAAAGAGGTCTCAGCAGCTTCGGCGTGCGTGTCAGAGGAGGTGGATCAGCTGCAGAAACGACCTCGTTACTGGAGCCGAGGAGAGAAACACTCGTTAGGTTTGTGAACGTTCTCTTTGGACATTTTGTTGTTTTGTTTCGTCATAAACATCTCTCCTTCTGTCGTTGTTTCTTAGAGCATCAGCTGGAAGGACTCGCCGGGCGGGTTAAAGACTTCTCCTCTCTGCTTCACTCCTCATGACGCCCTGACATCGAGGAGACGAGGAGTGTGTGATCTGTAAATGTTCAGACATGTTGTTTGTGTTTTCACGTCTTTTTCACCGTCTCATCCCTAAATGTTTGTCCTTTTATTCTTTGAGTGTAAATGTGTTTGTTATGAAACTAAGTAAATGTTTACTTCAGTGTGATGTCATCGATGTTCCTATCTGTGATCGTCCAGACTCAGTTAATAAAGAGTTAAATTAAAATCCAGTTACCAGTCAATAATGCTGTAGAGACGTTTATCCTGTTTACTGGAGGAATCAAAGGTAGACCACACTAACAGAGACCAGAAAGCTCCGAGACCTGGACAGGCGTAACTGGGGGATAAAAATCAAACAAAATGATTCGAAGTTATCTGTTATTAGAAAGAGGCGTTTCCTTCCAATCTCAGTAATAATGTGTAAAAATAGCCAATCAGTGGTGGTCTTGATTTAAAATACGGAGTCCGCCCAGTCTGAGAGCGATTTCCAGTCCTACATCACTGTTTAAAGATAATATAGCAGAATAAATAATGGAGTTTAAATAAGAATAAGATAAGGAATGTAAATAAGAGAGAAAGAGTTTTGTGTACAAAGCAGATCATTAAAGAAATGAGCTACTTACTGACACCATCCTTTCTTACTCTGCTCTGATTGGACAGACTGGTAAACATTAATATGAGTAAACATCAACAGACAGGTGGTTATGCTTCTAGATTTATTGTTTCATTAATTAAACAGAAGTATGTACAAAGTCGAACACCTGACAGCCTCATAACCACAACACCAGGTGTCCAATAGTTCCATAAAGAAGCGGCTCTCACACTGATCCGGTCGAAACTCCTGCAGGACAAAGTTTCAAGGTGTTGACATGTCAGCAGGTCAAATGAGCCCTCTACCTGTCCACACCATAGATCCACACGGACAGTTCTGACGTCAGAAGCCTTTGTTGGTCAACCAGTCCTTCAGCTCCACATCAAAGTGACCTTTAACCTTCAGGGTCCCGGTGACCTCGTTCACCTGTGTGGGCAGCTCTTTCCCCGTCTTCTCCTTCAGAAACTGCTTCACGTCGTTCTCCAGAGCCCAAATGTCCCCTTCCACTTTCCGTACTATGGTGATCTGACGGTTACCGTGGGTCAGGTCGGTGTACACCGGGATGTTGTGCATGCGGGAGCGGCGGATCATGTAGGGCAGAGCCGGCGGAGACTCAGCCGGGGGGGTCCATCCTGACGGGGTGGGAGCGGAGTGCTTCGGCGGAGCGGGGACTCGTGTCGGTGGGATGAGCCGCTCAACGAACTTGTATTCCTCCGCGGACTCTAAAACCACCGGCGGACTTCCTCCCGGAGCCGCCGTACAGAGACACCGGAGCCCCGCAGAGAAGGCGGCGGGCCGCGGGGTCCGGCCGGTGAGGCTCAGAGCTCCAAGCAGGGCCCTGCGGAGCACCGAGGAGCGGACGGTGAAGGAGGCCGCCATGTTGGGAAGAAGTGTGACCTAAGAGAACCGGAAATATAAAATCACTTCCTGTATGACAGTTGATCCATAAAACGTCCTTCTAGTATAAAATGTGATTTATTTATATTTTATTCTTATTCAGCTTTTAAAATGTACAAACAGAAACATTACTCCAAGCAGAAACTTAAGATGGAAAAATAAAACTTTCAAAACTAAATGGTCAAAAAACAACAATATAAAATATGAAATAAAAAATAAATTAAAATTTATTACAAATATAAAATCCTCTAAATATTACACATGAACATAAATTACATTATTTGTTGATATTTGATATAAAATGTATTTTTTTTTTAACCTTTTTCAATATTATTATTTTAAATCAATCAATCACAGAAGATTTGTTTCGTAAAATAAATGATTTGATAATGAAACTGAAAAAAATAAAGGGTATTAAAGTGTGAACAATGATGAAGAATGAAAAGTAACAAACATAAGAACAGATTCAGGAGGAATTTATTTAATAAATTCATTATAGAAAATATTTTGATCACTTTGCACAAAGTAATCGTTATAGTTTTTTTACTGGCTCTCTAAACGTTTTAAATCATTAAATCAAAAATAAATATTTAAATGTTTTCACCTAAAGAAAAATATGCTTGGTTTTTATCTTCTCTCTTTCTCTAAACCAATAATTAAATAAAAGTATAGTAAAGTGAACAAATAGATTTATATAATAATAATAGATTTATTACTAACTTAGTATTTCCTCTTAGTCAAGATTCCTTTATGTGTTTTAAGATCTGATACATTTATTTAAGTGATTATTAATATTGTAAAATACAGAAGCTTAAAAACGTTAATTCACAGGAGAGAGCGAATCCATCGAAACCTGCAGGAAAGTGAAAGTCAGTCAGCTCTCTGCTGGGAGGGTCTTCAGTGTCAAGAGGAGAAGTCGTCAATCTAGTTTGTCTGTCCACTCCCTCTCTCCCTCTCTCTGTCTCTCTCTCTCCCTCCCTCTCTCTCTCTCTCTCTCTCGCCCTCTCTCTCTCTCTCTGTGTATGTCAGCTCTGAGCTTGAAGCTCCTCAGAACTTGTTTATCACATCAGCAGGAGGACGAGGTGGAATTTGTTTCCTAGGAGGCAGCATGGACCCAGAAGGCGGACTGAACGGAGAGAGGATATCTCTGAATAAACTCGGAGACATCGAGGTGAGAAACACACACAACATCTGTCTCTTCAGTTTCTGACAGACAAGAACATCCAGTTTATGAAGGACTGAAGAATATATAGGTTTAAATGAACCTTTTTTACTGAAAAGTGTTGTGAGTCAGATACAAGAGGAGTAACGTCTACTCTGGAACAGGATCAAGTCTGTTGTTCTTTTGTTTCCTGGTCTCTACAGCTTTCTTACATTTTAAATTTTTGGTACTTCATTGGAGAGAGACAGAAAACGCTGGGACGGGAGAGAGAGAGAGAGAGAGAGGGAGAGAGAGAGAGAGAGAGAGAGAGGAGAGAGAGAGAGAGAGGGAGAGAGAGAGAGGGAGAGAGAGAGAGAGAGAGGGAGAGAGAGAGAGAGAGAGAGAGAGGGAGAGAGAGAGGGAGAGAGAGAGATAGAGAGAGGGACAGAGAGAGACAGAGAGAGAGTGAGAGAGAGAGAGGGAGAGAGAGAGAGAGAGAGAGAGAGGGAGAGAGAGGGAGAGAGAGAGAGAGAGGGAGAGAGAGGGAGAGAGAGAGAGGGAGAGAGAGAGAGAGAGAGAGAGAGAGAGAGGAGAGAGAGAGAGAGAGAGAGAGAGAGAGAGAGGAGAGAGAGAGAGAGAGAGAGAGGGAGAGAGAGAGAGAGAGGGAGCGAGAGGGAGAGAGAGAGATAGAGAGAGGGACAGAGAGAGACAGAGAGAGGGAGATAGGGAGAGAGAGAGGGACAGTGATAGAGAGAGAGAGAGAGTGAGTGAGTGTGTGTGTGTGTGTGTGTATAGAGGTGAATGGAGACTCTGTGCCTCAGAGAAAGTCTCACTCAGGTGTGACATGTGAGAGAGAAGAGCCTGCAGCATGTTCTGTCATGTTCCCTCTCTCTCTCTCTCTCTCTTTGTATCTCTCCCGCCCAGGTGAGTCATCACCTGGCCTCTCAGCCACACCTGTGAACAGAACACAGAGTAACCTCTGAGTGTGTGAAAACATTTGATGCATTTACCTATCTCCGCATTTACCTATCTCCGATACCTAGCAAATCTTTGTTATTTTAATGAACGCTGGTTTCAAAAGGACTCCATTGTGGTTGCCTTGGTAACAAACAGGTGTAAATATTGTTGGATTTTTACTAGATTCAAATCAAAGTTTAAACTCTGGTATCGTGATGACCCTCCGTCAGTTTGAGTGAACCAGCTCAGACCTCACCTGTCCTCTCTCTCCTCTCAGGCCCTGAGCCCCCCCTCAGGTAAACCCTGTCCTCTCTCTCCTCTCAGGCCCTGAGCCCCCCCTCAGGTAGACACCGTCGGCCCATCAACATGAACCACTACGCCACGAAGAAGACCGCCGCTCAGAGCATGCTGGACGTGGCTCTGCTGATGGCCAACTCGTCCCAGATGAAGACCGTCCTGTACGTGGGGCCTCATTATCGCTTCTACCTCCCCCTCATTGTCCTGCTGTCGCTCTCCATCACCCTGCAGGTCATCGTGGGGCTGCTGCTCGTCTTTATAGGCAAGTCACTCAGACTCCTCCCACATCTCCAACATCTACTGCCCTCCCTCCGAGCGCCTGTTTAGTGGTTAGAAGGTGCTCGGGGACTGGGAGGATATTATTGGCTCACACCCACCAATTCAATTTTTAGGTCACTGTCGACCTGTCAATCACAGGGAGCCCCGCCCTAACTCCTCCCCCTCTTTCTGGCCTCTTTGACTCTGATGCTGAGGTCAGAGGTCAGACTACACGATCTGACTCTGTTTCCTGACATCAAGTCCTCTGGTTCTACTTCTTCTTTCTCTTTCCCACTTCCTGTTTCTAATCCTGTGTATGTGTGTGTGTGTGTGTGTGTGTGTGTGTGTTTGTGTGTGTGTGTGTGTGTGTGTGTGTGTGTGTGGTGTAATTGTGTGTGTGTGTGTAATTGTGTGTTTGTGTGTGTGTGTGTGTTTGTGTGTCAGCAGTGAAGTACGATCTGAACGACGTGAGGAAACACGCCAAGCTGAACTGGATGAACAACGTGGCGACCGTTTTTGTCTTCTTCACTGTCCTCATCAACATCTTCATCACAGCGCTCGGGTTCGAGGGATATGCTGTGAGGTCAGACCCCCCCCCCCACACACACACACACACACACACACACACATACACAGGTAGGGTCCTCACGATACCAGATTTTTAAACTTCCACAGGTTTCTGGTAAAAGTCTGAAGATATCAATCCCCGTTTTCTAACACAGGAACAAAAATTAAAGTTGTAGGCACCAAATATCCGTCTGCAGGTCTGATGTGTTCTAGTCCCTCTGCAGGTCTATAGGAACCCCTCAGATGTCGGTACAGGAGCAGCCTTATGTTTATCCACCTCTTCCCATCGACATGAACACAACAGGACCCCTGTAGACCAGAGTCTGAATCAGATTCTGCTTCTTGAAGACTTTAGTATCAGCTGCTGGTCCCTAAAGGACCACATCAGTGCTGATGCAGATCCAGGCTGAGACCCGGGTGACCTCTGGATGAAAGGTCGTCCTCAGAGGATCTCAGTTTGAGACCTCCGTCTTCATCCAGCAGCGATCTGCTGTCAGACCAATTAAAACCTCTCAAATGTAATTAAAACCACTTATAAATATTCATTATCTGCTGTCAGAACGGTGTAATTAAGATATTTTTTTAACTGTTTTGTAACTAAATAAACTGATTTACTTACTACCTGATGCTCTCAGTCTAATATTTCACTTTGATCTCAGATCTGTGATTTAAAACTCACGCTCACATCTTCCTGCTGTCGTCTCAAAGATGTCTTCTCTCTGTTGAAGTTTTTAGCTCTTCAGCACCAGCTTCACCTCTCTGACAAACTATCTGTAAAACTACGAGGAGGAATCATGCATCCCAACATTTATTCAAAGGAGGAGAATGTCAGTGTTTCTGCAATGCATCCTGGGATATGTAGGCTTTGCCAGCATGGCTACAACAGCTCGCAGAGAAAGAGAGAGAGAGAGAAGAATTTCACAAAAACAACCAGTGAGCACACTTCATTTGATTTATTCAAAAGGTATGAACACATAAAGACGATAGCCTTTGGTTTCAGTTTGAGGCAACACGAAATATAAGAAACAGACTCGGTTTAATGGTTGTGCAAAATGTCACAGAGAAAAAAAGCATGATCGGGAAAAGCTTCATTAAAAAAACAAACGTCAAACACACTAAAGTTTGCATAGCAAGAAGAGAGAGTGCCACATGTCATCCAAGGACAGCAAAGAAGTCAACAACAGGACTAGCGTCTTTTTTTATCCCAGAAAGACCGAACCAGGAGTTAGTCTGCACCCGAGAACGCCCTCAGATTCTTACTGCAGGTGAATCTCTTATGGCTCAAACTTTAAAAGGTCACACATTTAAAATCCTCTTCTCCATGTTCCTCTAACTCTAACATGTGTCTCTAGTCTTTCTACAAACCCCCCAATAATGAGAAAAGTCCATCCTCTCCGACTTCTGCCTGCTCCACTTTTCAGAAAATGTGTGTTCAAACAGGCCGTTTGGAGATTTTCCCTTCATGACATCACAAAGGGCAGTAGCCCCTCCCCCAGCTGGGTGACACTCCCACAGCTAGGTGTTTGTTAGAGGGGTTTATAGATGTGATCAAATACTTATTTACACTGGATGAAGAGGAGGAGAACATGTGAGCTTTAAGAGCGTTTTACTCAAACAGGAGTAAGTAGTGGATTAGTCGGGGGACTATTTTGCGGGCGGATGGATCCACATGAGGTGTTCCATCATTTGTCTGGTTCCTGTCATTTCAGCGGATTTGATGACATTTAAATATAAAAATCCGTTAGCCTTTAGAAGTTTCTGGAATGTGTTCAAACTATAAAAAACCCTGACACCCTAACAACCAATCAGATCACTGGATCCCTGTAGGATTCTTCTCTTCTATGTCGACCATCTGACAGTAAGCGTAGTACGCGGCGGCTAACACGACTAACAGCAGCAGCAGACGAGTGAACTTCCACATGCAGCCTCCAGACTTCTTCAGCGGCTCGTTGGACCGCACTGCGCTGTGATTGGCTGTTCTGTGGGTCACCTGGATGGGGGGGCTGAAGCACAGGAGGGGAGGTTTAGACCAGGTGATGTTTGTTTTATTCAAACACAGCAGGAGTTTATTGTGACGGACTCACTCTTCTGTTTCCTGCTCGGACTCCTCGTCTTCTTCCGTGTTGGCGTTTCCTCTTCGTTTGAGGCTGAACACAAAAACACAAAGTTTAAATTCACACGAACGATGTAGACAGAAGAGTTTTCTACTTTTATACTCACGAGTCTCCGTAAGCCTCATGTCTAACCTGAGAGGACAAAAAGACGTTCATTAGATACAGCCAGAGAGAGAGAGGGAGAGAGAGAGAGAGGGAGAGAAAGAGAGAGAGAGGGAGAGAGTTCATCAATCAGACAAAGAAAAGAGTCTGAACTCACCGGGGTGTGGTACGTGATGTAGGTCACCTCCTCCTCTGGAAACACAAATCAAAAGTTCACTCTGAAGTTCGACCACAAACACATGTTTCAATCTGATCTCTGTCTTTAAAGGAGGTGATGATAAATCATCAGGCTCACCTTCCTCTCTGTAGAACGTTTTATCAGGCGAAGATTTCACTGCGGCGCTCTCCATCAGCCTCGCCAACTTCTTCTCATACAGACCACGAGTCGACTCTGCACAAACACACACACACACACACACAGACAGTCCATAGCAACAAGATTAAAGACAAAAGTCCTTAGCAACATGGCTAAAGAAAGAATTCCTTTTCTTACCGACGATGGGTCCATGTTTGATTCCAAACTTCGTCAGTAACTCGCTGATTTCTTCATCACTCTTCTCACTCAGAGACATCTAAACGCACAATCAGACAGAGAGATGGACATGATAGATGATAAACGTGATATCAAATAAATCCACAGACTGTAAACATCAACGAACGAAGCCTGAGTGACGTCTCAGGGGTTAGGGTAGGGTCCCATCGATGGCGGTCTCCATGAATGAAATGCCGTCTCAGTCTAACTTTCAGTCAACCTAACGACAGGCTGAGAGCTGGAGCTGAGGCGGGTTTTAAGCCTCCTGACAAACCGTCAAAACTGTCAATCATGTCAGCTACACGCCTTATTGTGAATAACTCTTATCCTTCTTTAAATCAAAACTGATGAGTCATCAAAACATTCACCCCCCGTACAGTGTGTGTCGATCGAGACATGAGCTAATCACACTTGTTTGTTTTTTTGAACCAGGCTGTAAACATGTTAATCTCTGCTGTAAAAACAGGCTTTTTAGAATGGGTGTGTATGTGACTTCCTGTGCTTCTGCAGCCAGCCTCTAGTGGACACTACAGGAACTGCAGGGTTTTACACTTCAGCATAGGCTTCATTTTTTAAAACCAGATGTTGCTGCTTGGTTCAGATTTCTTTGTTTGAAATGAAAAGAGTAGACTGAGGATTGTCTAATTGGTACACTTGTCTCTTTCTGCCCTGAGTCTGTAATAAAGTTTTGGACAGATAAAGGAGGACTCACTTTGGCACAGTTTGCAGCGCGCCAAACCTCCAGCAGGAGAACTTTGTAGTCTAATAAAGTTCAAACTGTAATGTCCGACTGGCAGTGAAGGCACCGCTTTATATGAATTAAATCGAAGTTATTCTCCGCGTTTGAATCCATGATTTCACCGTGTATGTCCGTATTATAACACATGTATAGTTATGAAGAGTTTTGTTGGAGTATTTCATGACGCCTCCGCGCGCAAAAGCGACGCAACCGAACTCACTTCGCGGCTTTTTTTTTTTTAATCTCGCGCGAACAACGAACGACCGCGGTTCAAAAAGAAGAAACGAGATAAAGAATAAAGTGTTGTTTTCGCTGGATTAGATAGAGGAATAAATGTTTTTCTTACCTTTGAAAAGAACGACAGAGTTCAGATAGAGCGTGAGAGGAGCAGGGCGAGGAGAGGAGCAGCTCAGAGGGAGGATCTGTGTGTCCATAGAGCAGGACACACCTACAACTTCCAGATTTACTATAGGCTCCTACTACTGCAGGGAGGAACTACCACAACACCTCAAACTGCTCTGTCTGCAGAGGAACTACAACTTCTAGATCTATTTTATCTACAACATCTCAAACTGCTCTGTCTGCAGAGGAACTACAACTTCTAAATCTATAAACCCACTCCTCCCTCTGTGCGGGGAGGAATGGTAAATAGTAGATGGACTTCAGACTACTCAAAGTGATTTTACACCACAGGTCACACATTCATAAACCGCTGACAAAGCAGCAGGAGCAACCTGGGAGAAAGTGTCTTGTCCAAGGACACATGGGACATGTGGCTGCAGGAGCTGGGAATCAAACCTCAGACCTTCTGGTTGAGAGCCGAAAGACTCTACCACTGAGCCACAGCCGCTCAACCTACAACATCTACATCTATATTTCTACAACACTACTGAAATAAAGAGCGCTCTGTCTGCAGGGAGGAACAGCCCAGACACACGGTATTCCTGACTGTTGAGTTAAACAAGTTTAAAACTGTCAGACAATAAAAACAGTTTAAAGAAGTTATCAGAGCTGCAGGATGTTTTCTCACTCTGAATATCCCTGAGTGTGTTTGTGATACAAGTTCACTTTAGATTGTTTACTGCTGTCTTTATAACTTTCAGAGGATGTCTGTGAAAAATGCATTCATGACATTGACTGTTCTCTTTACTTGTTGTGCACATGACGGGTAAACTGAATTAAGATGGAAGCAGAACGAGCGCTGTCAGTCTGGGAGAATAACTCTAATAAGTCTTTGTGTGTACATTGTGTGTTTTTTTTTCACTCCCAGTGTTGTTCCGGCCTCATTTGTCTTAAAATAATATAATAGATCATAAGATAATGTGTTGACCCCTCCCTCTTTGCTCCCCCCATCTGTCTGATCTTTCTGGTTGGAGTTGGCGTGTGGGCGGAGCTTGGAGGGTTGTCAGCTGAGTACGGCCTTCTGGTCTACCTGAGACCTTCATCCTCTCTCAGCCTGTCCTGTGTTTCACACCACACCAGCTCTGTCATTGCACTTTAAAAATAAACACACTTTATGTAGGAGAATATTTTATTAAACATGTTTCTGTTCATAATCATCCTCCTCATGTTCAGCCAGCATGTGATTCATCAGATTTGTATTTATCAAACCAGCAGTCACTTTGCATCAACGATCTGTGGGTGAAGAGACTGAAGATGAATGACATTCCTGTCTGAATATATATATATTATAGATTTACAAAAATCCACTTTGTGAAGAGCTAAAGAAGTCTGACAGAGACTCCAGCTTCACCGTCTTTAAGAACATTGTAACAGTCGTTTTTCCTCTTCAGTCGTTCCTCCTGTGATCTCTGATGCTTCTACATGAGTGTCCACAAAACAACACAAGTGAAATGAATAAATGACATCATCAGAAGGTCAGGCTGCCGCTGACTGACTCTGTTTCCTCTCCTGCAGCGCCCCCTGCTGGCTCAGAGGATTCAGACCTAATAAGGAGTTTTTCTGCAGGAAGGGCGTTGGCTGCAGACTGTAATGTACACATTTTCCACTCACTGGAAACACACACACACACACACACACACACACAAAGAGATTCATGATTTGGTCCAAAAACTCTTAAAACTTTATATTTTCGATCTTTCATTAAACATGTTCAGATTCTTTCTCTATCATCATTTAATACCAAACAGCAACAGTTAGAAATAATAAATGTTTTCTTTCTCTGATGCAGGCGTTGTAACAGGGTTTCATTATCGACTCTTTAATCATCTCTAAATAACAGTCTCACACTAACAGTGTAGATGTAACACACGAGTATCTTTATGTAGGATCAAAGCTGTGTGTGTGTTTGTTCAGGACAGTAAAGTTCATGTGATCAGTTATTTATTAGGCTTTTATTGACTGCAGTCTTTGAAACGACCACGCCTTTATTCTGGGAATACGAGGCGGGGGAAACTAAACTGATGTAAAGATGAGAAAGACTATAAAAAAAGGTCACACATCCTCCTCTTCTTCAGTGTAAATAAGTCTCAGAGCTCCTAAAAACATGTGTGTGAAGTTTCTTGTTCTAAATCCACTCTGACCTGTATTTGATCATGCCGATAAACCCCTCTATTTCAGCCCTGCTCAGAACAGGCTGTTTCTGTGTCTGTACCTTTAAATATGTAAATGAGCTGTGTCTGACCACGCCCCCTCTCTGGAAGGGCTCGGGTGTCTCGGTGCTTTCTCGCTCCATGTCCTATTGTTTACGGTGAGAAGGCAGACTCAGAGGGCAGAACAAACACCTAGCTGTGGGAGTGTCACCCATCTAGGGGAGGGGCTACTTTGTGATGTCATGAAGGGAAAATCTCCAAACGGCCTGTTTGAGCACACATTTTCTGAAAAGTGGAGCAGGCAGAAGACGTAGATGATGGACTTTTCTCATCATTCGGTGATTTATAGTCAGACTAGAGACACAGAGCTAGAGGAACAAACCAGAAAGAATATTTAATTGTGTAGAGAGAGAGAGAGAGAATCCTCTGTTAACATAAACATTAAGTGCTCTATGGTGTGAACGTATCAGAAGGTCTTCAGCTGTTTTAGCAGATATATATTACATTTAAAACATTTGTGTTTCAACATCTTCTGTATATGAATCTCTACAGCCAGCAAGAGTTCATCTTAATGTTTTACTTCTTGCATCGTGGTCTCGACCTGATGGCTGACTACACCGGCTCCTTAAGGGGACGGGGGCTTAGAAGGGGAGGAGCCTTTATTTGGAGTGTTACGGTAAGAAACAAAAAGAGGCAGACATCAGAGTGACAGAAAAATACTTAGACAACTTTATTGTGTATCAAAATACTGTCTTACAAACACGTTTAAAGCCTTTTTATTTAAGACAAGGTTCATTTTTTTTGTTCTGAAAGATAGATTAGGCACAAAGCGAGCTGGGGGGGGGGGAGGGGGTGAGGAGGGGTGAGATACAAACAATGAGCAGAAAACAAAACATCTGTTCTCTTGTTTTTGGTCGTCGTGTTGTCAGGACATGACTACATCACCCTCAGCCCTTCAGTCCAGAAACTTCCCTTTTTTAAAAACCTTTATCGACTCACGTTGACAAACAGTGTGTGTGTGTGTGTGTGTGTGTGTGTGTGTGTGTGTTGTTGGTATCACACACAGCAGACGTGAGGAGGACAGGTGAAACGTGGCGTTCTATCACTTATATTCATCTCTAAAGGAGAACAGCAGCGCCTGAATGTGGATCACACGAGCGAGCAGCAGGTAAACATCAGGTTGTTTTCTAAAGCGCATCATGAACACTGCCGTGCTGCTGAGCTGGGAGACGTGAAGAAACAAGCCGCTCTATGAGCAATCACACGCACAATTCAAGGTCATAAATCAAACGGTTCAGAATCTTTTAAAAACGATAAAATCTCTGTTACTCTAAAGAACGCATCAGAAACTAGTAACTAACTACTAAGACTGTAAAAACACCTTTCTCATACGACAGGTGTGGAGGAGAAAGATTGGAGGTTTACCTAACGTTTTGGTCTGTAGGACTTTTATGTTTGTTGCCGTGGTAACGAAACAGGTATCGATATCGTTTGACCACATCGTTACTCTCACATGAACTCCTCCCTCACTTCTCTGTTCGCTCCGAGTCCTTTTATTGTTCATATTAAACTGTGTGTGTGTGTGTGTGTGTGTGTGCATGTGTGTGTGTGTGTGAGAGAGAGAGAGAGAGAAGCTCCTCCAGTGTAAACAGAAACCTTCCATCAAAGCTGGGCTCAAAAACCTGCTGCTGCTCTACACTATGCTAAGCTAAGCTAATCTTCTATATAAATCTACTAAACGTCCATGACTGGAAATGTAAAAGGCACGTCTGTCTGCTGGCTTACAGTAATCAAAAGGTGCATCTTGTCCCTCCCTAAACAAACGATAAAAGGTGGACAGAGGAGGAGTTGTGTTGGTCTTTGGGAGATGACAGTGAAGGAATCAGCTGATGTGACAGTTTGTTGGTTAAATAGTTTGAAAGAAATCTAAATGATGGGAGGAGCTGTAAACATGATGGGTTAGACTCTAGGTGGAAACAGTGGTTTAAGGCTCTGATTGTGGAGCTGGGTGGGGGGGTCAGACGGTGATGTGGTAGGGGCTGCCGGGGATGTGGTCGTCGCCCCACTTCACCACCAGGATGTACTCGCCCTTCTCCTTCAGCTGGTAGCTCACGTTGTAGAGGCGGTTCCCCAGATGTTTGACCAGGATCTCCTCACAGGGGACTTTAGGACCGTCCACCCCGACCAGCAGCATGTTACGACCTGACCACACGGGACCACATACAGCAACATGTTAACAACATGTTAGCTTAGCATAACAAAAGAAAAACCTCTTGTTTTGTTTCCATTGACGTTCTTTCAGAATGTTTCAAAGTGAAGCTCAAAGGTTCTTCGCTGCTCGCCGTCGTTCACTCACCTGCTTTGCTGCAGTCGACACTGAAGCTGTTCTTCTGACCGATGAAGCCCTTCGTCAGACCCATACCCTTCGCCACCACCTTGCTGGCGTCCGATTGGACGGGAGCTCCCTGCTGAGAACAGCTGATGGCGCGGGTCACGGGGTCGACCATGACTGATGAGGTTTCGTGCATACTGTGGCTGGAGACCAGCTTCGAGCCTGGAGGACGGAGAGCAGTGTTAACCCGGGGGTCGCCACGGTAACAGAGCGCTAAACTTCAACATGAGTCTAGTGAAAATCTAATGATATTTATACAGCTTTTATTACCATGGCAACAAAAATACAAGTTCTAGGCGCCCAGTGATGGATCATTTCTTGTGCCATTTCTCTCTCTCTCTGCAGCTTTTAGTTAAACATATGAGAGAAGATCTGAAGTTGAAGCTTGCGGGCCGTTTGATTCTGATGTCATTAAAACTCACCGGTGATTCTGGCCTTGAAGGGGCTTCCCGAGATGTGATAGGGACCACCGTATTTGATGGAAATTAGATAGTTTCCAGGAGCCATGGGGGTGTACGTGACCCTGTAGCCCTCGGACACTCCACGCAGTCCATCTTCACCTTAGAGGGCCCGTCGATGGTCACAGCTAACGCCCCGGGGCCGGCGTTACTCGTGTTCACCACAAACTCACAGGCAGTGCCTACAGGAGATGGAGGACATGTTTGAGGGTCGGACTGGCTCAGACTGGGTCAGACCAGATCAGACCAGATCAGACCAGGTCAGACCAGGTCAGATCAGATCAGACCGGTCCTGTAAACAGGGGGTTTATTTTACCTGTGGTGCCTCCCTCCAGTCCTGGTCCGTAGGCGGATACCATCCCGGGGTCTCCGGCCTGACCCGTCTCTCCGACCCGGATCTTAAAGGGACTCCCGGGGATGTGACTGCCGTTAAACTTCACGTCGATCAGATAGAGACCGTTCTCTCTGGGGATGAACCGCACGGCGTATTTATCTGTCACACACACACGAGGAGACACAGGTCAACGTGTGACATCACAAGGTCAACGAAGCCCCGCCCCGACCTCAGAGTCAAGGTGTGTGTGTGTCTCTGTGTGTGTCCTGATGATGTGTGTGTGTCCTGATGGTTTGTGTGTGTGTGTGTGTGCTGATGGTGTGTGTGTGTGTCATGGTGTGTGTGTGTGTCTCTGTGTGTGTGCGTGTGTGTGTGTGTGTGCGCGTGTCTCTGTGTGTATCCTGATGGTGTGTGTGTGTGTGTGTGTGTGTGTGTCCCGTCGTCACCTTGGTCGATCTCGGTCACGCAGCACTCCTCCAGCGCTCCTGACGGGCTGTGAACCTTCGCATCGATCACGCCCTTCGCTCCGTTCAGGCTGACGGCGAACGACGCCGGCTGGTTCACCTTCAGACCGGACTCCTGCTCGACAAAGACGACTCACACACTCAACACACCGTGCACACATTATCTCACACCGTCTTTTTAGAGTCTCTAACCTTACCTGGAGGTCGCTAACAAGGCTAAAGAGGAGGGCTGTGCAGGGTGAGCAGAGACAGCAGTGTGTGTGAGTGAGTGTGGATGAAACTTCAGAGGAGTGTTAGATACGGTTAGTTTTGTTCTCATTTTGTTTATTTTAAATGTTGAGTAAAATCTAAACTTTGCTCCAGATTCTTCCCGTCATGTCGTCTCTAACACCCCTCTGAAAAGGAAACATCAGAGAAGAAGAGTGTGCGTGTGTGTGTGTGTGTGTGTGTGTGTCTGTCCAGGTGTGCGTGTGAGTCTGTCCTGGTGTGTGTGTGTCTGTCCAGGTGTGTGTGAGTGTGTCTGTCCAGGTGTGTGTGTGTGTGTGTGTGTCTGTCCAGGTGTGAGTGTGTCTGTCCAGGTGTGTGTGAGTGTGTCTGTCCAGGTGTGTGTGTGTCTGCATGCAGGTGATTAGTCATAGAGAGAAGAATTTGTCTTCTAAGTGTTTTTGTTAAACTTTATCCTGCCGACCTTTGACCTCTGTAAGTGTGTGTTTGTGTGAACAAAGAGGAGAAAACAGCCCATGTGAGACCTCTTTAACCCTTTAGCGCCCCGATTGTTTGGCAGGCTGTTGGGAGCCTTTAGAATGAGGCACGAGAAACACACACAGTCCTGGAGTATCCCAGAAGCCCCTGCAGCGCCTCACAATGCAGCAGCAGCTGATGATCCTCAACCTGAACCTCATACCGGCTTTGAGTCTCTGATTGTTTCAGTATTGTTCTTTTTAGTTTGACATGTCTCTAAATGTCTCTGATAAAGAACTACTCTCTCCCTCTCTGAACTAAAGCAGACTGTCACAGTCCTCAGACTCAAACATTAGAACTGTTCTGTCCTCCACTCTGACCTGGATCAAACAAACAGAGATCTGCTGCTGCTCCATTGTAGGCAGCGTGCTGCGGGCAGGAGTGTGCGCACACGGATGTGTGTGTGTCTCAGAGCCTCACCTGAAGACTGGCAACAGTGAGGCGGCGGGCGTCGTCTGACGGCGAGGCCACGGGGACGATGATGGGGCTGTCGGGGATGTGCTCGTCGTTGAAGCGGATCGACACCTCGTAGTCTCCTACAGGATGAAGGGAAAGTCAGAAGATCTCTAAAATGATCTCATAAACACAAAGAGTGACGATCACAGCTCTTCATGAAAACACAAGAAAGGATCAAAGATCTTTAAAGGTCCTTCAACATGTTCTTTTAGCGTTACATTAACACCCACTGGACTTTAAATTCATTTCCTTACATGCACTCTGTGAGTAGTTACACACACTAAGATTTTTTCCTCATAGTCCACTGCACAGCTCTGTGTACATTTTGTGTTTTTTATTTTTTATATTTTACATTTTTAAATTCTATTTTATATATTGGTAATATCTTCTTATACTGTATTATTTAAGTTGTTGCTAGTTCTGCTTTATTTCATTGTTAATTCTTTAGCACCAATACACCAAGTCAAATTCCTTTTATGTGTAAATGTACTTGGCAATAAACCCAGATTCTGATTCTGATCACAAGTCCCGGCTCACCCGGCTCCTGCACGATGTAGGACACTCCACTGGAGCCGTCCTTGCGGTCCTCAAAGGCGATCTCGGCCTTGCTGGGTCCCTCCACGGCAATGCTCAGCCCCCCCGCTCCGGCCTCTCTGGTCCAGATACTGAACTCAGCTGCACAGCAGACGAAGTCCAGTCAGAGAAGAGAAGAACGTTTACACATATCACATATTAATACTCATCCAGCTCGCCCACCTGGGACTCCAGCCTCTGCTCTCTCCAGACCTGGCCCCCCAGCTCGGACCTTGTGGGCCCCTCCCTCTCCCAGAGGGCCCACGGTGAACTGGAAGGGGCTGCCGGGCACGTGCACGCCGTTATACTTCACACACACGGTGTGCACGCCGGTCTCTGTGGGGACGAAGCGGATGCAGTAGGTGTTGTTCTCGCCCTCCATGATGTCGGCTTTGTGGATCTGACCGGACGGGCTCGTCACCTGAGCCGTCATGTCGGCGATGCAGATCTCTGAGGACGGTCAGACGGGTGTGAATGAGTGAAGACAAAGAACACAACGAGACAAAAGACTTTCCAGGTTTGAATATCATGCACGCTTTCCATGGGCGATTAGTGTTTAGTGAAACTCTTCTTATTGGTCTAAAAAAAGTCAGAGAATAGAAACAAATCTGCAGTTCTGTCGTGGTCACCTGGGATCTTCAGGCTCAGGTCGCACTGGCTGCCCACGTTGGCGACGGACGCCGCTCTCCTCTTCCTGGTGATGCTCTCCTTCATCCTGCCCTCACCTGTGACCTTCACTGTGAACGCACTCCCTGCGCGCACACGCACACACACACACACACACACACAGTATTCAGTGTGTGCGTTCAGACACACAGAGTCGTATTCTTTGTCGTCTGTTGTTTGAAGGTCTCACCTGGAACGTGCTGGTCGGCGAACTTGATGTTGATGATGTAGTTCCCGGGCTCGGTGGGGCAGTAGGTCACCTTACAGGTACCGTCCTCCTGGTCCTCCGTGTTGATGTCCACTTTGCTGGGACCCTCAATGGACAGACTCAGACCTCCGTATCCTGGGAGGAAGTCAAACATGACTTAGGTGTTCAATAGTTCATATCGAAGCAGAAGTTAAAACATGGATATGATTCAGGTCAAATCAAACTAAATCGATATCTACTGATCATAAGACGTGACGTGACGTGATCTTCTCACCTGCTTCACGTGTGTCGATGATGAACTCCGCAGGCTCAAACGTCCTTGCCTCGCTCAGTCCCTGTCCACTCACACGCACACGACTGGCGTCGCCGATCTCTGATTGGTTGATCATAACAGAGATGGGGCTGCTGGGAATGTGGCGCCCGTTCTTCTTGATGTTCACCAGGTGTTCTCCGATCTCCTTAGGAACGAATGAGATACCTGTGAGGAAGAGGAAGAGGAGGAGGAGGAGGAGGAAGAAGAGGAGGGAGAAGGAGGAAGAGGAAGAGGAGGAGGAGGAGGAGGAAGAGGAGGAGGAGGAAGAGGAAGAGGAGAAGGAGGAAGAAGAGGAGGAGGAGGAGGTTAAAACCAGACATAAGGATGATAAATAGTTGCTGAGTCAGGAGACAAACACGCACCGACGTGTCCGTTACGCAGCATCTTCAGCAGACACGGCTCCTCGTGGCCCGACGGCGTGGTGAGGGAGGCGGTCAGCTGACTGAGGTCGAACTCTCCGATGTCCAGAGGGATGTCAGCGGCTGAGCCCACCTTCAGGTGAGACATCCTCATGGAGTCGTCACCTGGAAACACAGCAGGGAGTGTTAGTGAGACGCTCAGAGGGGAGGAGTACGGTGGCTGGAGAGTTCAGACCAACAAAGTGTGTTAGAGCGCCAAGACACATCTACAAGAGGACAAACATTTCCTCTCAAAAAACCTTCTGCTCCTCTGCTCCCAGTCTGTGGAACGCTCTCCCCGAGCAGCTGTGGGCTCCACAGTCTGCTGACGCTTTTAAAAGGGCTCTAAAAACCTTTTTACCAAAGCCTTCTGCATGGCTTTTAGTTTCCTTAGTTGCTTAGTTGATGAATTTCTTTTTTTTTTTTCTGTATCACTGAGATTGTTTTGCAAAAATGTAAAGTGCATTACAAATTAAATGTATTATTATTATTATTATTATTATTATTAATAAATGCTGGAAAGTGACTGAGTGAGCGGAGTGACTCAGTCACTTCTGTTCATTTTCATTGAATGTTTTCTTCCATGTTTTAAAGTTTTGCCGTGCATCTGGTTACCGGTGATCCTGGCAGAGAAGGGGCTGCCGGGTATGTGTTTGTCGTTGTATTTGACCAGGATGCTGTAGTCTCCGGGCAGGACGGGCAGGTAGGACACGGTGCACGTCCCATCCTGGTTGTCCACACAGCTGATGTCTGCTTTAGACGGACCCTCGATGGCCAGAGACAGACCACCTGCGGGGACAGAACACAACCTGCTGATCAAACAGGAAGTGGTGAATTTGGGCGGCAAAACATGTTTCACGAGCTTCTTGGACTCAAAGTTTGTATTCTGCTAACCCTCTCCAGCATCTTTAGTGTTGACGGTGAACACGGCGGGCTTGTTGACCATCCCGTGGATGAGACCTGGGCCGTACGCACTGACGTTACCGCTGTTCATGTAGTCCACAAAGAACTGTAGAGGACTTCCTGTGAACAGAAGAAGATGAGAACGTTTTATGATTTTCTCTAACATATTTTTTATGCACTTCAGAGGTTACAGTTGTGATTTATTTTTAGTCGTACCGGGGATGTGGATGCCGTCGTATTTGATGTCCATCTCGTGCAGGCCCGCCTCGGTCGGAGCGTATTTGACGGTGACTGTGCCGTCCTTGTTGTCGGTGATGTCGGGCTTGGCCACCTTACCTGACGGCATCCTGACCTCACCTTCAGCACAAACAGAAACAGGGTCAGGATCTCAGAAATCAGTTAAACTCTAAAGTTTGATGGTTCTGTGCTTTCTGACGCGTTGCTGTCACCTGTGATCTCGCCCTTCTGGATGGTGAACGGGATGACCAGGTCGAATGGTCTCAGCCCGGCCACGTCCAGACCGTTCATCCCCATTGGCCGGTCCGTCGCCTAGGAGACAGAGGTTAGAAACAGTGTGTGAGGAGGCTGAGGTCTCTGAAACAGATCCACAGGGAGCAGAGTGCAGGACAGACGAGGGTAAAGCTTCCAAACACCAACAGACAACAACGAGACGAGATGATTGGATGATGGAGGTGATGGTCAGGATGATGACACCGACACACACTGCGAGGAGGATGAGGACAAAAACACTGGAGGATGAAGGTAGGAGCCATTTTGTAAAATGTGGAGCAGCTGATTCTCACATTGATGGTTCTCAAAATGGCTGCTTTTGTCTCTGAAGCGAGCTGACATGGAGCACTGCTGAACACACGGCTGCACAATGACTCATGGGAAATAATCCTAAATGTGTGCACGTAGTTTAGAAGTGAAAACACTTCGAGTTATTTATTAGTGGTGTTGTCATTGTGCAGATCTGTAGCTTTGCCCATGTGGTGAAATTATCTTTTTTATGAGTTCAAGTGAAATGAGAGAAAAGCCCCCCGGGAGATGAAACACCTGCAAAGAGACACAGCAGACATGGATGCAGGATGGATGATGAGGAGGAGGAGAAGGAGAGCAGAGGAAGCTGAACAATAACAGAGCAGAGCGGGGTGAGAGGCTGGAGGTTTTTTAGGTACCCAGGGCTGCTGAGCGTAGTACTGGGGCATTTGGCTCTGCTGCATGAGCTGGTCTGATGGAGCTCCTTCAAGTGCCTGAGAGGGGGGACGGAGAAAGTGAGGGGGAGGTTTGGGGTCAAAGGATAGAGATGGAAGGGGTTGGAGGGGAAGACAACGATAGTCAGAGTGATTCAGAGAATGTGTGGCACCAACAGGACCCGATCGAGGAGCGTCTGGAAGAGAAAAAGGGTCAGGGGTCTTTGGTGCACGCTGTCACTGTGGTTATCAAAGCAGCATCTTAGCTGCTCTTATGCCTTCAGTTATAAATGTAGTGAAGATGGGTTTAATAAGAGCAATACATCTCTACATTTATACATTAACAGGAAGTTTCTGCTGCCAACAATCTCTCGTCTAATTCCTCTAACTACATACTGGATGTAGAGAATGAAGGTATCCTGCAGGGATCAGCTCTGGGCCCCCTCCTGTTCAGAGCTGAAGACTAAAAGATTGGATTCAGGTTTGACTAAAAAAAGACATGTGACCAGCCTAACCTGAAGCAAGAAACAAAAAAATACACATTTTCTCACAACATCATTCAAAATGTCCGCCTACGCTTAATAGTTCCAGCTTTATACAAACTATGTAAGCGACGCTGCTGCACAGATTTCTGAACTCTATGCTAATGTTTGTTTTTAGTCTTTATTATATTTTCCAGCTGCCTTCAAAGACTAACGACGTGTTCCTGTTCACCTAAAGTGATCGTCTCCTGAGTTTGGGTGTGAAGTTGATCTTTATGCAGACGATACTGTGCTGTTTGTTTCATTACTCTGACTAATCATAACTTTCCCTTTAACCTCACTGTTCTTCTTAAGTTACACAAATGACTCATTATTGATTATGGCTTCTTTTTTTATAGTTTTGCACGTTATAAGAAATCCTTGAATCTCTTGACTCTTCCACCAAACATGATGAATTCACATCTAGAAGAAGGTCAAAGACTAGTGGACTCACCGTGACCTGGAAGGGGCTGTTGGGGATGTGTTCCCCTCCAAAGCGGACACAGATGACGTACTCGCCGGGCTGTGGCGCCGTGTAGAAAATATCAAATGTGCCATCCTCGTTCTCAACAACGTCCACGTCGAGCTCCGCCCCCTCAGGTGTGCACACGCTGCATGTCACCTTTCCTTTCCCAGCAGCCTTAGCGTCCACGGTGATGACCGTCTGCTCTCCGATCTGGATGGTCGGTCCGACACCGGCGCCTTCAGAGGAACGGGTCAGTAATGAAATATGAGCTGTTGTGATTTTTTAGTTCTCACAGACACTTAGACTTCCCCCGACCCACAAAGTATCCAGCATGCACATTCCACAACCGTGAGACCGGGTTAAAGATGCATCAGGCTCAGTCGGGTTATTTCATCTACTGTTACCAAAGACTCAGAAGTTATCATCCCACAGCTTCCACCTACAACTGAAAGCTAGATTAACCTTCACCATGCCATCCTACTCAGTTAGTCCATTAGTCTGTCCAGGAAACATGTCAGAGGAAACAAACAGACAGGAAGGGGAGCATCATAGAGAGAGAGAGAGAGAGAGAGAGAGAGAGAGAGAAGAACAGAACGGGATGTCCTGCAGAGAGCTGCTGCTTCTATCCTCCATGCTGACAGACAGAGAATGAAAAGTAAATACTTCGTCTACGTTGGAGTTGTTCAGGAGGCTTACCTAAACCGTGACCGCCGATTGAGACTGATAAGAGGAACGGTGAGAAGCAGCGGAGCGAGGAAACAAAAAGTGACAAATAGAAACAGTCAGGTGGGGGTGGGGGTGTGAGAGGCAATAACTGTGCTCCAAACACTCGATGAAAACACACGGTGATGGTGGAGTGTGAAGCAGGGAGGTGTGTGTGTGCGTGTGTGTGTGTGTGTGTATGTGTGTGTGTGTGCAGCAGGGGGAGTGTGTCTGAGGAGCACAGCGTGACAAACACAACAATGCATGAAAAATATCACAGCAGCTGCATGAATCCACAAACACCCAATAATAAGTCATTCGACTAAAAAGAAAGAAATCACTGAATTCATGTTTTTTTAATAAGAATAGTTTGATACCTCTCTTATGTCTGATGCTATATAGATGTGAGTACCAGCAGCCATTTAGCTTAGCCTAGCTTAGTATAACAACTGGAAACAGAGGTAACCAGCTAGCCTTGATTGGTCAGAAGGTATGTCCACCTTAGAGCACCTTGTAAACTCGTGTTGTTTACCTCAAACATTAAAGGAGCAGTATGTGACTCTGACACCTAGTGTTTAAAATGGGTCCCAATTCTAAACATTGTAGAGAGCTGTCTCCCCTCCTCTCTAGAGTGGATGCTCACACAGGTTGCCATGTGGTGGACACTGAAGCTTCAGTGTTTCAGTGTCTCTCTCCATTTTTCAAAAGCATCTCCAATATTAATCCTAGTTTGAGTACGTTTCTGCTCGTGGAGCTTTTTAGAAACATGCAGAGGCTTTTTAGGTCGGGTACAATCACTTCTATCTGAACCACTTCTCTTGCCCGCTTCCACCGCTGCAACACCTGTTGGTTTGACCTGATGGTGAAGTGCTGGCTTCTCTGACAACAATGCAGCAGCCAGTATGTCCTCCTTCTAACTTTAGATTCTGGTCCTGAATGCTCTGGATCTGTTTGGACCAGAGAAGGTAGGCGCTTTTAAGACACCCCCCACACGGCCCGTTTTGGACGCCCCTCGGTTTGCCAGATATGAGAGCAGTTATCAGGTCAAACCAACAAACTCTAATCTGTGTCTCTTTCTGTGTCAGTGTCTGCACCAGAGAAATGATCAAACATCTTTTTCTGTTCAAATAAAATGATAATTAAAACATTTTATTAATGAACATCTATGTACACACCTGTAACGGTGCACTTGCTGGCGTCTCCGGTGGGCAGCGCTCTGATCCTGTAGGGCGAGTAGGGGATCTCGTCTCCTCCATATTTGATCAGGATGGTGTATCTGCCCGTCATGTCGGGCACGTAGGACACCAGGTACGTCCCGTCGTGGTTGTCTCTGATGTTGGCCTTCTTGGGTTTACCCTCTGGATCCTACAGGGGGAGAAAGTCACCACAAACAGTTAAATAACAGTAAAAAATGTGTTTTAATTTGATGTATGAACACAAACTGTGAGCGCTCACGGTGATCTGCACGGCAAGCAGGCCCTCGCCGGCGTCTTTGGCATCGATGGTGAACTCGACGGGCATGGAAGCGGGCACTCCAGTGGTGTTCAGGCCGGGTCCGCTGGCTCGCACCTTACTGGCATCATGGGTGGGGAGCACCTTCACCTTGTAGGGGCTGATGGAGGGAGAGGGGGAGGAGCTTAAATACAGACAGGAAGTAAAGAAGAAGCATGGACCTGGTGGAATCTTCAGAGTGTTACCTGCGTGGGATCTCCTCGTCTGCGTACAGCACGTTGATGGAGTATGGCCCCTCTCTGGTCGGGACATAGTTCACCGTGTGAGTCTGATCGCCGTTATCCACGACCTCCACCGGCTCCACCACACCTGCACGCACAGCCACGAGGATTATTCCTTCTATAGGGTTTAACCTGTGTGCAACAACCCCCCAAACACAACTTCTACCACGCGCGCTGATTACAGGCTGAACTTCAATCTTCCACTTCACACGTTAACAAAACAACATGGCTGCCGGACGTAATCTGATGCTGCTTCTTCTTCTACAGATGTGAGGTCATCATGGTCAATATCTCCTCAAGATCCTCGGCTCTTTCCAGAATCAGTGAGGAAGCATTTCATTGATACATCCAATGACAGGCAGAGCAGGGTTTGCTGACGATATAACATGTTTATCTATCATAAATTATCAATAAAGTATAAATTATTATTATTATCATATTATTATTATTTAAATGTAAATAAAGCTATCTCTTATTTTATGTTGCCTTGTAGTCGATGAATGATAGTTGATAGTTTTAGTCAACTAGCAGGAGGCGTCTCTGCAGATTCTCTCGTAGGAGCTTGAAGAATTTTTTTTTTTTTTTGGAGGTCGTGTTAAACACAGCGACACAAACAAACAAACAAACAAACCTTTGGGTCCCTGCACGCGGACCTGCAGCGGGGCGACTCCAGCTTTGGAGGCGTCCACAGTGAAGGCCTGGGGGATGTTGGCCCTGACGTTGTTGCTCAGACCTGGACCCTGACACTTCACCTTGGTACTGTCCACCGTGTCACTGACGGGGACAGAGAAGGGACTTCCTGCACGGACAGAGGGACAGAAATTATTTTATTTAAAGCTGAGCAGAGGGAGCAGAGATCGTTTTCTAAATGATGTAAAACCCATCAGTGTGTCTCCAGAATGTGAAACCAAAGCTTTACCTAGTGATCACAGAAACTTCATGTTTGAATTCATTCTCTCTGATTCAAAGGTTTTTTTGTTTTTTTTTTGATTTATTTTTGTGCTTTTTGTGCCTTTAATGGAGTGGATAGAGCTGGACACCAGGGAGAGAGAGAGAGCGAGAGTGGGGAATGAAATGCGGGAAAGGAGCCACAGGCTGGACTTGAATCTGGGCCGCCCGCCCGCTCCATACATGGGGCACTAACCACCAGCGCCCCTGATTCAAACATTTTAAAGAGGCACTCAGGATTTTTTTTTATGGTTTCAAAGCGTTTGTCTTCCAGCTGTCCGTCCTGTACCTTTGATTGGCTGTCCTCCATAGGTGATGTTCAGGTTGTACTTCCCGGTCTCGTAGGGGACGTACTCCACGCTGCAGCTGCCATCTTTGTTATCAGTGCAGGACATTTTAGCCTCTGAGGGACCCTCCATGGCGAGACCCAGACCCCCGGTCCCTGCACCTCTGCAGAGCGGAGGTGAAGGAGGTTTAGAGACAGAAGCAGGAAACTCTAAAACTCTCTTCAGTAAAAGTTGTAATGACCCTCACCGTGTCTCCACCGTGAACTTGTTGGGCTTGTTGGTGATTCCTCCCTTCAGACCGGGACCGTGCACGCGGACACGAGCCGGATCGCAGCCTTCAGTGACGGCGACGCGGAACGGGCTCTTCGGCGCCGGAGAGCCGTCGTAGCAGACCTCCACGCTGTGAGGGCCTGAGAGGAGGAGAGCACAAACATGAGCTTCAACTCACAACAAACAAAAACAAATCCTGCTCGCCGCACGTCGTCTTACCCTCCTCGTATGGCGTGTACTCCACGCTGTATGTCCCGTCTCCCAGGTCGGTGATCATGGCGTCCGTGCGGCTGCCGGACGGGTTGCTGATGAGTGTTTTGATGTGGTCACCTCCGGCCTGAGTGAGAGCACGAGCGTCCACGGTGAAGTCTGTGGTCGCCTCGCGGAAAACACCTAAAAAAAGCGAGCGGAGAACATGAAGGTGACGGGTCGAGTAAACCTGATCCCGATGTTTAAACCCTGTGAAGTTTTTGCTGTCCTACCTTTCCCCTCAACTCCAGGTCCGAACACTCGGACCCCGCTGGCGTCGACGGCGGGCTCCACGGTGAGCCGAGCGGGGAAGTTTGGCACATCCTGGCCCCCGTAGCGGATGGTGAGCGTGTAGGATCCGGGGTACAGGGGGATGTAGGTGATGGTGTAGGTCCCGTCCCCGTTGTCCTGGATGTGGACCTCGGCCTCCGTGCCGCTGTCTGAGATGATCTCGATGGTCAGATCGGCCGGGCCGGCGTTGGTACAGTCCACGATGAACTCCCCCTTCTCCCCAACTTTGGCGCGCTCCAAACCTGGACCGGAGCAGCGGACCTGCGAGGAGGGGGGTCATCGATAAGGGTTAGGGTCTTACTCTTTGATACACACTTAATGAGGTCGTCTGCCGGTCTCAGGGTCTGACCTTGGAGGGGTCTGAGGTGGGGTACGCTGTGGGGGTGAACGGGGATCCGGGGATCGGGAGTCCATCGTAGGTGAGCTCCACCTGGTAGGGGCCGGTCTCCCGGGGGATGAACTTCACCTGGCTGGTCTCAGGACTCAGACCCGGCTCCACCTGAAACCCCCAAAACAAACAGAATGTAAAGGAAAGAAATCATGAGAGAGGTCGACTCAGCAGGACGTTTATTATAATAATAATCTTTTATTTATAGAGCACTTTACGAAAATTTGTTACAAAGTGCTTTACAAGGACAGCAAATCTAAAAACAGGTCATAGAATAATAAACAAGGCAAGATTAAAAATCACTTTAAAATATAAAATCCCTCTTTTAAAGGAATTCTAAAAAGTGAAAGTAGTAACAATTTAAAGGGTTAGGGTCATTTATTCCTCATCTTGTGTCGTACCTTGCTGGCGATGGGTTTCCCTGATGGGCCAGTGACCTTGGCGACGACCTTGCCCTGACCACCGGCACCCTTTGATTTGACGGTCACATCCTGGTCCCTGCCGACGGTCATCTCTACGATAAACAGAGAGGATGGGTTTTATTAGAGGAGCCATGAACAGAAGAATGAAAACTCAGGATCCCACACAAACAAATAAATATCAACAAAAGAACTGATCCACATGTAGGGAAGGGAGGAGGGAGGGGTACGTACTGTCTCCCAGCCCGCACACGTTGATCTTGCTCAGGTCAAGGGTCGGGGCCACGGCCACGTTGAACGGGCTCTTTGGGATCTGATCTCCTCCGTAGGTCACTGCGACTCCCAGAGGACCCTGAGGACCGGGACAGAAACAGCTGCAGTGATTAAAATTTAAACTTTGATCTGAAGACATGAAAATGATATCAAACCCACATTTTCACAGGAAACCAGGAAATCAAACAAAGACTGTTTTCACCCCGACAAGTACTGATGCTGCTAACACAACTTTTAAAATCCATTTCCTAACAGTGACCTCCTGCTCGGTCAGGTTAAAGAAAAAGATGATCGAGTCATGGATGCTCGTGCTATCACTAAAGGTCGTCAAACGAATCTTTTCAAAATCATGATTAACCGCTTAATTTCAATAGTTTAACACAACTAATTACATTTTAATTTTCATTAATTAGCATTTTAAAATAAAACCTTTATTTTAAAAGTTTGTACTGTCTTAAGCAGTACCTTACTTGTTGTGTGCTTTTATTTTGAAATAAAGTTAGGCCTTTCTGGTAGATGGAGGGTTAGGACATAAACTTCTAACAGAAACAGGAAGTGGCTCAAACATTCAAAATAAAAGCCTAACAAGTTTTATCTTGAAGTGTGAAAGAACAAAATTTCAGACACTCGACACATTTTTTAAAATTTGAATGTTTGAAAGTTAAAAATATAAATATTGCACAACGTTTCATTTTGAGGATGAGACAGGAAGTCAGAGACGCTTTAAAGACGTCAGGAGGCGTCTTTTAGCCGTTTCCTGTCTTTATGATAAGCTTTACTAACCACCTGCTTGAGTTTCAAACATGACATGATGTCATCCTACCTGCTGCACAGGTGTGTATTTAACGGTGTGTGTGTTGTCGTGGTTGTTGATGACTTCGAAGTCTTTGACCGCCTCTCCTTTGGTCGGCCCGCTGAAGTTACAGTCCAGGTTCGCTTTCCCCGCCCCTTTAGTGCTGACGGTGAAGTGAGTGGGCTTGTTCAGTTCAACTCCTGAACACACACACACACACACACACACACACACACACACACACACACACACACACACACACACACACACACACACACACACACACACACACACACACACACACACACACACACACACACACACACACACACACACACACACACACACACACACACACACACACACACACACACACACACACACACACACACACACACACACACACACACACACACACACACACACACAGTTCTTCAGTGTTGATTTGAAGCGTACAGATTAAAGGTAAACAAACGGAGGATGTAGACTTGAACGTGGTAATGGCGTCCTCACCGCTGCGGCTCAGTCCCGGTCCCTCTGCTTTGACTCTGCTGGCGTCATGAGACGGGTCCACTTTGATCCTGATGGGCGTCATGGGAATGGCCTGAAACACATCAACACACCACAGGGTTCAGCCCTCCTGCTCCTCCTGCTCCGTCGTCCTCTCGCCGTGACCACCTGCCTCAGACTCACCTGGTCGGCGAACAGCACCATGATAGTGTAGCTGCCGGCGCCGGGCGGAGTGTACTTCACCGTGAACGTGTCGTTGTCGTTTCTGATGATGTCAAAGTCGATGTCGGCCTCTGCAGGTCCCACCACACCGGGGGCGCACTTAATCCCAATACTGATGTCACCTGAGACAGAAGAGCGTCAGCGTCACAACGTGAAGATGGAGAGCCAATCAGCAGCCTCGAGTGTTTGGTTTAACCCAATCAGCTGAGGTCTCTCTCTATCTTAAACCAATGAGATGCAGCGGTGTCGTGTGTCTTCACCTTGCCCGGCCTCGGCACAGTCCACAGTGAAGTAGGTCGGCTCGAAGGCCTTGAGTCCGGTCTTGGCCACCCCGGGTCCAGAAACCTTCACCTTGTTAGGATGACAGCCCGCTCCGATGGTCATCTGAGGTCAGAAACACACAGACACGTTCAGATACAACAAACATCTGTATGTGTGTGTGTGTGTGTGTGTGTGTGTGTGTGTGTGTGTGTGTGTGTGTGTGTGTGTGTGTGTGTGTGTGTGTGTGTGCTCACCCTGAATGGGCTGTCTGGGATGTTGACTCCGCCCCAGGACACCATGGCGGTGTGTTTCACAGGTTTGCGGGGGGTGTAGGTGCAGGCGTAGGTGCCATTTCCGTTATCTTTAATCTGAACGTCCACAGGAGTACCTTCACCGTCCTGTGAAGAAACAGAGAGACTTTAAAGAGGTCATATTATGCCCTTTTTGGGGTTCATATATTTAATCTCTGTACCTACTAAAGTATGTTCACAATAGCTAAAGTTCTAAGTGTAAGTGTCTGTTTTCATGTACTGCCGCTCCATGCACCAGCTCGCTTCTGACTCTCTCTCTAAGGCTCTGAAGTGCCCACGTTCAGAGTCCCCACGTGTGCCAAGTCTGATCTGATTGGTCGGCCTGTCGGCTCTGCCTTAATTGGTCAGTCGCTCAGCACGGTTCTTGGAAATGTCCCAACCCTTTTACCATATTGGGAATGCAGCCACTTTGGCTCCGAGGAGAGCAAAAACATTAGCACCTCAGCACTACTGTGCTACCGCAGGCTACGGCATATCGTGGGCGTGCTACAGAAGTTAACGGGCATACAACATGAGCTGCTGGGCTTGCCACAACGAGCCAATGGGCTTAGATCAGTGATATCACACTGACAATGACGTCACACTGACAATTTTTTATCGAGGGGGGCTAGAACCGAGCGTTATATGCGGCTAATGCTACAGCTAACAGCCGCGTTTCCGCGGACTTTGCACATAGATGTGCCTAAACATGCACAGGACACAATGGAAAACACACTAAAGAGCATATAAAACCAGAAAAAGCATATTATGGGACCTTTAATGTGGAGCAGACACAGACACAGACACAGACGTACCTGAGCAACAATCTTCAGAGGAGCTTTTCCTCCCTGTTTGGCATCGACGGTGAACTCTGTTGGCTTCCCAACAGCCAGACCGCTGCTCTGCAGACCTGGACCGAACGCCTTCACCTGAAACACACACACACACACACACACACACACACACACACAGATTTAGGAATACGCTTTTCTGCTTAGAGACAAAGTCTGTCCCCCCACGTTTGAAGGAGGAATAGAATCTGTAACCCGCAGAGGTCCACTTCATGTTCTGACCCGTCCTGTCTCTGAAGGTGTGCTTACCTTGTCAGGGTAGAAGTCTGTGTCGGGCGGGTTGACGATCTCGGCCATGAAGGGCGAGTGTTGGATGTCCTCGTTATTGCAGAGAACGTGCACGGCATACTCGCCGGACTCCGTGGGCCAGTAACGCACATCACACGACCCGTCACCTTTGTCGTCACATTCAATCTTTGCCTGAGACGGACCTTCAACAGAGAAACCTGCGCAGAGAAGAAGAAACACAGTGAGCTACAGGAGACATTCATGAGAGGAGGTTCAGTCATTCTCTCGTCTCTCACCCAGTGTGCCGACGTTGTCTCCGACAGCCTCCACCACGAAGTCGGCAGATTTACCCACAATTCCATTCTCCAGACCCGGACCCCACGCCCTCACCTTCTGCTGGCCCGCCTCAGCACCATCTTCACCTCGATGGGACTGAACAGAGAGTCGAGAAAACAAGTCGATGTCAGTGTCACTGAGTGTGTGTGTGTGTGTGTGTGTGTGTGTGTGTGTGTGTGTGTGTGTGTGTGTGTGCATGTGTGTGTATGTGTACGTGTGTGCGTGTGTGTGTGTGTGTGTGTGTGTGTGTGTGTGTGTGTGTGTGTGTACCTGCGGGGGATGTGCTGTCCTCCCCATGTGATGGTGATGCTGTACGTTCCAGGTGTGGTGGGATAATAATCAAATGCATAAACATCATCTCCCAGATCTTTCCTCTTACACGGCTCGTCCAGACCCTCTGAAAACACAACGCCACACGACACGGTCGCCTGTTAGTCACCATCATCATTTATTTCAAGACATGAGGAGCAGAAAATAAAGCCAGACTTTCTTATATTATGTAAAAAAAAACAATCTTTGACTTGTCTTGTTTGAGAAGTTTACCGTAAAACTTCTAATAAAAGCTCATCCTGATTTAAGGCCCGGTCCCTTTAATGAGCGTGCTGTGACTGCACGTTTTAAACGCAGCTCTCCGTCCAAGGCCTCAGTGTGTCATTTAGTGTCAGAACAGTGTGTGGATCAACAATAAGGAGAGACAGCAGATGAACATCTACATGTGTCCAAGACGACAGAATGATGCTCGTATGGCGTGCAGGACGTGACGCAGGTCAGCATGCTGCTTTTCTTTAATCTGTTTATTGATTTACTCTTTTTGCTGTGAACGAGTTTAGTTTGAAAATAATCCAAAGGTCTGCCTCGTGTCGACGCCTGTTCAAATAAGGGCAGGGTCATAAAATAACCTGAGCTGTTATTAGAAGTTTTACAGTAATAAGTGAAATGTGCTCTCCTGATTGGCCGATTGTTTATGTATGGCTGAAGCTCAGTCTGCAGGGACTTCGGTTGGAACCAGAACTTCCCTCTGGAATTTATAAAGTATGTAACATTAAATATTTATTAAATAATAATAAGCAATTCTGGCTTTATTTCTCCCCTACAACATTGTAAGGAGTGTGTGTGTGTGTGTGTGTGTGTGTGTGTTCAGACGGACTCACTCGGTCCTTTGATGGACACTTTGAGCTCTCCTGTTCCCGCTCCTTTGGTGTAAACTTTGAAGTCGGCCGTCTCCTTCACTCTCAGGCCCTTCGGCTGCAGACCACGACCCTTTGCTTTGCAGAGGCTGGGGTTACAGGCTGTGGAGACACACACACACGCACACGCACACACACACACACACACACACACAGTCAGTCAGAACATGTGTGAGTTCAGGGTTTCAGTGGGGAGAGGAGAAATGAGGTGCAGGCTGAATGATGTGAAACCCAAAGTATTTCCATGTGAGCGTTACATCCATCATTTAAAGGATTTCTGAGGCTGTTCCCTCTACACCACATCCTCCCTCCTCTGACTGTATCCATCATTTAAAGGCTGTTCCTGTCTTCACCACACCCCCTCCTCTGCCTGTATCCATCATTTAAAGGCTGTTCCTGTCTTCACCACACCCCCTCCTCTGCCTGTATCCATCATTTAAAGGCTGTTCCTGTCTTCACCACACCCTCCCTCCTCTGCCTCGTCTCTATCTCAGGGTGCAGAATGCGCCCACGGAGGAGGAAGTGAGCCGTTATCCTCGCACAGGAAGAGAAGTTATTCTTCATATCTGCTGATTATAAAAGACGAGCTGCTGAGTCACAGCTGGATGCCCCTGCAGGAAGCAAAGGAAACCCCACAGGAACAGAGGCTGATGTACAGGCCGAGATATGCTGCATGGAAAAGACCGCTGCAGGATTCATCAATAATTCTTATATTACAAACGTCTCTGTGTCACTTGAAGAATGAATATGTGAAGTTATTTGTAAAGTCCTAGTTGAAGCTGCAGGTTGATGTTTAAGGCACTCTTTATCCGGTGTCATTACAGACTAACATGCTGGTCGTGGGTTGTATTCCCTAAATGACACTCAGCAGAGACTCTCTGTAATTTAGAGCTCATAGATAATAACATGCTAACCTTTAATGACAGTCTTATTAGAAAGTGAAAGAAACAGCACAGGTGAACAGAGTAAAGACGTGCAAACACACACACACACACACACACACGCGCACACACACACACACGCGCACACGCGCACACATGCACGCGCACACACATGCACACACACACGCGCACACACACAAACACAGGTACCGAAGAGAGATCCCAGGAAACAGGAAGTGACAACAGAAGGAAGAGGCCGATCCAGAGAGAGGACAGAAACCAGCACGCCGCTGTCAGAGGAGCAGAAGGAAGAGGAGGAGAAAAGGAAGGACACCAATCAGAAGGAGGAGAAGAAGAAGAGGACATCAGAAAAAAGAAACAGCAGAGCGTCAGACACCAGAGAAGAAGAAACAGAGATTATTCTTTAAATCTGATTTGTAGCTTTATAATCTTCTCATGAATGTTGTGACCTTCTTCCTGTTATTTCATTTAAAGGTGAAAGTGTTGAAGCACACCCTGAACACCTCTACAGTCTATGATCATGATAACGGAGGGTTTAGTCTTACCCTCCCCGACGGTGACGGTGAAGGGGCTCTTGGCGATCGGCCCCCCGGAGAAGGTGACGTAGACGATGTGCTGCCCCTCCTGCGTGGGTTTGTAGGTGCAGCGGTAACTGCTGTTCCCTTTGTCCTCGATGGTGCAAGTCACCGTGTTCTTCTTACCTACAGGATCCATGATCACCACCTCCACCTCGCCCACGCCGGCACCTTTAGGGAGGGAGCAGGACGTGATGGGTGTGTTCTGACGCAGAGTTTTCTAAAGAGCAGACGAGCAGAGGAACTCACCGGCTGTGTACACGTCAAAGTACGTGGCCTTGTTGGCGATGTTCCCGGACGGCTCCAGACCCGGTCCCTGAGCCGTGGCTTTGCTGGAGTCTCCCTGAGCCATGCCGATCTCCACCTCGAAGGGGCTCTTTGAGATGTGCTGACCTGCAAACAGCACGGTCACCTGCAGAGCAGAGAGGAGACGTTCAGACCATCTACCAGGTCCACATCGTTAGGATGCTCTCAGACGTCTTTACAAAGTCGCCCTTCTGTCAGAAACATCCAACCTGCAGCATCAAACATCTTTAACCCCTTCAGCAAGAGACGCAGCAAACACCAAAACTAACACCCTAAACATTATGAATCCATCTCTCATGGTGGGGATGAATAATAACTGTTACACTCTGCTGATCATGCAGGACACTTTGATGAAGAATAAATAACTGTGGTTAATATTCAGACACGTTAATAAACTTCCTAATTCTGGCCTTTTCATGCAACATGTTCTTTAAAGCTCTTAATCTTTCATTTGAGCTCCATCACTCCTGATGAAAATATCAACGCAGTATAACCCTCTAACCCTCACATCAGATTCTGTGATGTGTAACACGACTCAATGAGGATCTGTTTTTATACATTTCTACAGTCGTTCATTTTCTTTTTTGCAAAGCGGAGATTTCTGTCCTCCACAGGTAACAACAACAACATGGTGTTTTAATGACCACCACAGCTTTCTCTAACAGTAACCGTCATGAGAGAGAAAGTCTGCAGCTTTGAGGAAGTGAGAGAGGGAGGGAGAGAGAGTCATTTCCATGGAAGAAGAGAAGTGAAACTTTTTCTGTTATTAGACAGAAAACAATAAGAGAGAGAGAAAAGAGCAAAAAAGGGAGAAAGAGAGGCAGAGTGAGAGAAATAGAGATATATATATATAAATATATATATAGAGAGAGAGAGAGAGAGAGAGAGAGAGACCTCTGCTCATTCGTTTGAATCACAGGCTACTTAACCAATCAAATCACAGGGGGAAACTCAGACTTTTGCTGCGTTCAGGTAGTGTCAGAAACATTGGAAGAGTTTCAGAGTAGGTGAACGCCTCGGAACAACTCGGAAACTCAAAAGAATTAGCAGCCTGAGTCGATGTCATGTTTAAAGTCTGTCCAGCTGTCAGCCGAGTGCAGTATGGCTAAAGAGTAGCAGACGGGTCCGACCTGAGCGGGCTCACCTTGTGCATGCCGGTGACTTTGGGGATGTAGTAGACGGAGTAGGTTCGGTTCTTGTCGTTGTTGGCCGTCACTTTAGCCTGGAGGACATTTTGAAAAAGTTAACAAAGTGCTGAAAGTTTGAAAGACCAAATCTGAAGATCTCCTGATGGTGAGCGTCTGACCTCCTCTCGGTGTCCTGCAGGATCCTCCACATAAACCAGAACCTCGCCCAGCCCTGCACTGATGGTCTCCACGGTGAACACGGCCTTCTTCATCACCACGTTACCCACGGGCTCCACGCCTGCACGCCACCACAGACAGAGAGAGGCGTTATAACACGACCTAGTGTGTGTGTGTGTGTGTGTGTGTGTGTGTGTGTGTGTGTGTGAGAGTGTGTGTGTGTGCATGTAAAGAGATTCTGAAATGTTTCATCAGATTTAAATGTTTTAACTTGAACATAAACTGTATGTGACGTGTTCTGAGTCAGCGAAAAGATCAAATGGGGGGGGTCTGCACCGAGCAGCATCGGGATCGAGAGTAGAACCTGCGACCACATTGTCGAGGACCTGTCTTCTTACTTGACGTTTTACAGGATGAAGTTTTTGAATCATCTGTTTCACTTTTCAGCTGAGCCAAAGTGAGCAGCTGCTCAGCTGGCAGCCGCAGACACTCTAACAGAGAGCGTTAGATCACTAACATGAATCTTTGACTAGTTTAATAAGCAGCTCTGTTTGTTTTGGAGCAGAGCTCTGTGCAGATCTCAGCTCGCTGTGAAGCTGCATCTCTGCACAATGATGATCCAAATACAGAAGAGAGGAGCAACTTAACTGATCCTTCAGATTCATTTTCAACTACTACTCCTCTCTTCTGTTTGATCTCAGAGGACAAACCTGGACTCTTTAAAGTGAAATCACTCTGAAGACTCTCCTGTGGATGTTTAGGAGTGACTCAGAGAGGCTGAAATGTTCTCTGCTCTAAACACAATCATAGCCTGAATCCTCTTGGAGCGTCTCTCACTTTCTGACGGCTGTAAACATCCAAATCCTTCCTGCTCTAAACTGATGCAGCTGCTGAGCTCAAAACAGCTGCTGTGTGTGTGTGTGTGTGTGTGTGTGTGTGTGTGTGTGTGTGTGTGTGTGTGTGTGTGTGTATGTGTGTACCTGGCCCGTAGGCGCGGGCCTTCTTGGGGTTGAGTTTGGGCCGTAGAGGTGCTCCAGGCTTCAGTTTGGCTTTGGGGAACTGGGACAGGTAGGTCATGACTGAGTGCTCGTCCACATTGGGGTCGACGATCTCCTCGGGTGTGATCACCTGAGAGGAGAAGAAGAAGAAGAAGAAGAAGTGTTTATTGAAGATAGTCTGCAGCTGCACGGCCTGCAGGGTCGGATTGGTTTCCATGGAGACGAATCAACTACAGACATGTTGTGATTAAAAGATCAAAACTACAAACCAACGACTTCCTGAGCTCAGAGGGTACCTGAGACCGATTCACACGTACAGCGGCAGACACACACTCATCACACACTCTCTGTCTGATCATACAGCCCACACACACACACACACACACACACACACAGTCTGATAGCAGAACCAGAGACAGCAGGAGACCAACAGACAGTTTGTGATCTAAAGACGGAAGCAGCAGCGACCACAGAGCTCATAGTCAGCACGCCATGCTGTGCCAGCTGCCAACACACTGCCAATCTCACACACACACACACACATGCACACGCACACGCACACACCAGAAACCAAAAAAACAGAACACACTACATCTCATAAAATGATCTGAATATCTGCTCTATCCAAACACTTTATTTAAAATGTTATTCTATGACTCTTTTAAAGGTTGTTTTCTTTTTTCTTACCTGTGGGATGCCCAGCCAGTCGTCGGCTTGCTGCATGGCCTCGCGGGCGTTAGCGACTGGTTTGGTCTGATCCCACTGGTCCCAGTCAGGACACAGACCTGCAGGAGAGAGAGAGAGGAGCAGAGCTGGAGGTCACACAGGGAGCAGCAGGAGAATACAGAGAGACCATAGAGACAATATGGCCAACATCTAGAGATGAACCCTTTCATGATGAAACAGAAGAACGTTTAATCAGACATGAAGAGGAACGTGTCTGTGGGACTGTGCAGACTCCACATCGAGCCTTGAAGACGTCCAGAAGATAAGCAGAGAATTTCAACCATGTGTGAGTGTGAAGGTGAATCTGCGAGGTTGTACGTCTGACCTTCATTTCTACCATCAGCTCAAACTGTGTCAGACGTTTATTTACTCTGTTCAAACCGACTCACACGCCTGGATGTTTTTATTTCTGATGATGTTGGAAAGCTTTATAGGGGGGGGGGGGGGGGGCGGGGGGGAGGAAATCTCCAGTTGGATCTTTATCTGCAGGCTGCTGGTGATCCACAGGTATGCCAAACATCCCGAGCATGTAAACAGAAACCCTCACTCTCCTTTACCTACACCCCCTCCTCCCTTTCTCTGTTCCCCCCTCCTCCCTTTCTCTGTTCCCCCCCTCCTCTCTGTCCTCCCCCTCCTCCCTTTTTATAGGAGCATAATGAGAAGGTTCAAGGCTCCCCCTCCTCCCTTTCTCTGTCCTCCCCCTCCTTTCTGTCCTGCCCCTCCTCGCTGTCCTCCCTTTTTACAGGACCATAATGATAAGGTTCAAGGCTCCTCCCCCTCCTCCCTCCTTCTTTTACGTCCCACACAGGTGAGAGTTAAACACTGAAGCGTTCCCCGAGCTGACCTCAGATCTGCAGACGGTTAGAAAGACAGACTCACTTTGAGAGCAGAACTTTCCCCCCGTGCAGAGACTAGAAACCTTTGGGGAAATTCCCCGGGACCAAAGTCTATGAAGTTACGGGGACATTTTTCCAAACTTAAAAAGTCCCTGCTGGGGCGCGCTGGTGCCGACTCTATCCACTGTCCTCCCTCTGAATTAAAGGCACGAAAAAGCCCAAAAAATAAATCTTAAAAACAAATAAGTCCCTGCTGGGGGGTGGGGGGGGTCAGACGGATAGACCCACATGCAGGTCCGGGAACCGCTCAGAGCTGATCCTGAAGACAGGAAGGGTTCTAGAATCTGTTTGGGCCCTTTAGGAAAAGACTCACAGGGGGGCCCCTGAAACCAGCATCCATCAGGTGGGTCAGGGGGACACGGGAGACTAAATGATTCAAATACAGGAAACGTGAATATTAATGTTTAAATCTGAGGGAGCTGTTAGTGTGAGGAGAGCCGGACTGAGCTCCACAAACACACAGTCCTTTAGACCTGATCCAGCTGCAGCTTCTCTATCTGTTAAGATCCTTTCTACATATTGTCCAGCTGTGAGCTCTGCATGGAGAGTGCGTGCTCAGTGTGCTTTAAAGGTCATGAGAAGTGTTTTCAGACGTGTTTTTTGGGATGGTCCTGAAACTCTCCGAAAGTGTGACGGCGCTCGATCCTCCTCACAGATGTTTTGAGCTCTTTGTTGGTGTTGATTTCAGACCTTTGAGGGAAACACATGCTCATCACACACAAACACATCCTGCTCTTTGTCATCCATCAGACCCCCGGACACACACACCAACACAGCTCGTCTCTACAACACTCACCTGGAGCACAGCTGTCCACCAGCGCTCCCAGAGCCCGGCCCGTCTGCCAGTCCTTGTGGAAGTTGGTGATGGGGAGCTCGGGCAGTTTGTTCTGGATCCATCCCAGCAGCCTCTGCTTCGGCGTCTTCTGTCTGCCCTCGTCCGTCTCCTCGTCCTCGTCCCACATGGGCATGGAGATGGAGTAGTGCAGGATCAGGGTCCATATCAGACCCAGGATCAGCTTCAGGTTCCCATCCACAATGGCCTTAGAGTCTGGAGAGCAGAGGGAGGGAGAGAGAGGAAGGTTTTAGAAAGATAACAACGATGCTTTGGACAATATAAAGAAAGGACTAGCACTCTCCCAGAGAACATGAAGAGAGACAGACCACTACTCAAACATTGTGATCTAAATCTCTTTATTTAAAGCTCAGTGGAGGCTGCATGTTTCCCTCTGGACTGTCTCTGTACTCTAATGTAAAGCTTCATGTTTAAGGAGGAGGAGGCATACAGAGGAATGTTCACTTCCTCCTTAAGGGTCTTCAAAAGAGATTTTAATCTGACTTCAGAATGACAGCACCGTGACTGTTAACATCCATCTCTCTACCGTTCTTTAATCAGGGGAGGGGGGAGGGGCAGGGGGGCTCAAACATCTTAAATTGCCTCCATTTTTAACGCTGCCACTCAAATGAAGGGACTTAGTCTGTACTTCTCTCAGATGACAGACCCTTATGAACACATTAAACTACATGAAGCAACTATCGGCTGAGGAGTCATCGGGGGGGGGATAACGGACATGTCATGACAAGCTTTGATGTAATTTCTCAGAACAATCTTTCTGCAAAAGTTGCATAAATGAGTGACGATTTAGAATATCTCTGACATATAAACATTAACACATAACGGCACATCCTATAACATGTTCCAGCTCCCCGACATCACCCAGGAATTTCAGCAGAAACACGAGAGAGTGATGCAACAAGGGAACAAGGGGCTCGCCTGGGCATGAGGAAGGAACACACACAGACACACACAGACACACACACAAACACACACACACACACACACACGTTGCACAAGAGGCAGTAGATCAGCAGGATGATTGCAGGTCGAGCCTGCAGGAAAGGGTGGAGCTCTCCCTGCTGACTGATGAGAACAAAGTTAAGGAGGAGAAGTTGTGATTGTCGGGGCTGGAGGTGATGATGGATATCAGGACTGGAGGGGTTTCTGTCTTTGTGCAGGGGGTCTGGAAGGTTTGGGGTCTGTTTATAAAGTGTGTGTGTGTGTGTGTGTGTGTGTGTGTGTGTGTGTGTGTGTGTGTGTGTGTGTGTGTGTGTGTGTGTGTGTGTGTGTGTGTGTGTGTGTGTGTGTGTGTGTGTGTGTGTGTGTGACAGCAGCTGTTAGCAGTTTGTCTGTGATGTCAGCCTTTATAGAGAAACATGAAAACAGAAGAGACAGCTCTGCTCACTGTGAGACAGCCTGACCTCTTCTTCTTCTTCTTCTGGGCTAACGTTGGTAACAGCAGCTCAGAGATCTTTAATCATTCTGTTTCTTCTTCTGTGTTTATGCCTCAGAGTGGGGGCTGCGGTTCGGGGGCTTTGGCTGCTGAAAAGGCTGAATATTTTAAGGCTGCAGAGGGAGGGTCTGAGAGAGGTTTGGCCGAGAGTCTGAGGACAGGGTCGAGATATGTGTGTGTGTGGGGGGGGGGTCCTAAACCCAAAGAGGGGAGGGTTAAATTCCATGCAACAGAATGGAGAGAACAGCTAACAGGAAACTAAAAGAGGTGAAATAAGCAGATCTAACACATGCTCTGTCTGTCTGTCTGTCTGTCTGTCTGTCTGTCTGTCTGTCTGTCTGTCTGTCTGTGAGCAGCTCCCAGTGGAAAAACACCCGATGATAAACGGTGATAAAGCAGAACAGGGTCAGACCGAGGGCCTGTTTGGGTGACCCACCACCATGGTAACCAGATCGTTATAGCAACGGGGTGGAACTCAGTCTGCAGAGGAATGAAGACATGAGAGACAGGAGAGAGAAACGAGGCCTGCAGACAAAGAGAAAACATTCATCATGCGCTCTGATTGGGGGGCATGAGCGCAGCGTGCATGAGCGCAGCGTGCATGAGCACAGCGTGCATGAGCGCCACGGGTTTGAACCTGCAGCAGGAATGCGGATCAGCTCAGGTGAAGGTGTGTCACATTGCGGCCTGTCAGCCAGCACAAACACACGACCACAACACGGTCTGAACAGACCGAGAGGACACCAAGAAGTCTGAGCAGGAGAGGAGGGATCTACCAGAGGAAACGTGTCTATGTGATCTGAAGTGACTGTTGGAGTATTTTGAAATACTTCATCTCCTAAAGTCTGCAGATCTTTAGCTGAAAGATTAAATAAACCACTAGGGGACGTAACGATACGTCACAACACAAACACAAATAGAAAACATTCATCGATGTGACAAAAACATATATTGCAAAACACCCATTTCTTAACCAGTGGAGGGCACTATTTGATTTTGGCTTCTCTTGTCCGTGGTCAGTAGCTGAAGCAGAGAGGCGTGCAGAACAAGAGATATCCACAGAGACCGATGAACGGCACAAAGATCACACCATGAAGCAACACGTCAAACAGGTGTAGGAGAGACGGGGGAATAACTCAGTATAGAAACATGGAGCTGCTCCCCGGACGTTTCTCTGGCGCTGAAACTTTATTTAGCTTTTCAGTTATACCCGTTTCAATGAGCAGAGAGTTTGAACCTGCAGTGAAAATTAGTTTGACTTATTATTATTATTTAAAAATTAAATGACTGCAATACACATTTTAACAAGGCTAGATAAGCAATATTTTTTAAATGCTGTGCATGTGTGTTTTCACCTATTTAGGGTACTTTTAGCTATTTATGACCTGATGCGAGTGTTAGTGTGAATGTTTGTTTTCATGTTGAGCCTCAACAAAAGGTCATTTTCTGTCACAATGTGATAGACAATAAAGTTTTTCGAACCTTTGAACCTTTTTAAATCTTTTTAAAATCTTTCTAAAGGTGATTCAAGTGATGTCAACTTATCTCTTTTGACTGTCGATCAACCTGCAGTTGTGTGTGTGTGTGTGTGTGTGTGTGTGTGTGTGTGTGTGTGTGTATGTGTGTGTGTGCCTCCCTCTCTCACACAAACAGAGCCACTAAACATGAGAGGAATCTGCAAACATTCCCGTCAGACCACAGAGCAGCGAGTCTGTCGGAGCCCATATACGGACACAGACTGCCGCAGACCCCCCCCCCCTTATATGTGTGTGTGTGTGCCACCGTTTGGGGAAAGTGCGTGTCAGTGGTTGATGCTCTTTTTGCCCCAAAAACCCCCATGAGTCATCTGTTTGGCTCGTTGCTGCAGCTCCCCCCCCGACATCGCTATGACATCATCGCACCTCCTGACCTACAGCCTGACCTGATCACAGCATCTCATGTGGGGAACGAGGGAGGGGGAGGGGAGAGAGTGCAGAGAAGGACGAGAGCAGCAGGAAAAGTTCTGCACAATATTCAGGTCGAGCTGCAACATCTGGAGCTGATTACTGCAAACAGAGGAGAGAGCTACGTGCTGTCGCTTTAAGAATCCAGACTTTCTATCACTTATGATGTAATAACAGAACATGTACTATAATATAGTGTCCACTAGAGTCTGTCTCCTGCAGTGAGTCAGTCCCCATAGAGTTCTAAGTTAAAATGTCCAACTTTACAGCTGCAGTTCCTCCAGTGTCCACTAGAGTATGTCTCCTGCAGTGAGTCAGTCCACATAGAGCTCTATGTTAAAATAAACATGTTTACATCCTGGTATAAAATCAGTTTTGGTCTCTGGAGCTCATTTCTCTACTCAACTGTTTGGTCTGAATGTTTTAACTCACCTGTTTATATTAAATTAAGGCTTAAAGTTTATTAGATTTAGGGGGCGTGGCATGCTTGTAAGTCAGTTTACAAGAATCTTCTTTAGAATTACTTTAAATGCTGTCTTCTCAAAATCATCATCGTTCTCTTCAAAACATCCAGAACATCTGGATCTCATCTGTTATCGATTACAAACGATGGCACAGAGAGAGGGAAGGGCATTTCATACTGAACACGCTGACTTTAGGAGATTTTTCTGATTTTTGGAGGGTCAAAGTGTTCTAGATCCAACAGTATGACAGGTACACACACACACACACACACACACACACACACACACACACACACACACAAGTCATTCCTGGAAAAAAGGGGAGTCATCAGAGTGATCAAACCCACTCAGACTGAACACTGAGAGGAAATGTCACACATTCCACACTGCTCTTATCACACACACTGACAGACAGAAGGAAACACACTCTCTCTCTCTCTCTGTGTCTCTCTCTCACACACAATTTAATCGAGATGTAAAACATATACAACATTCCTGAAGCTCTCCAAACATTTTGCTCTACAGCAGTGACATGATTTCAGCTCATATCCTCAAACATCCTGAAACAAATCTCTGACCTGACGCTCTCTCTCTCCCTCCCTCTCCCTCCCTCCGTCCCCCTCCGTCCCCCTCCCTCCCTCTCCCTCCCCCCCGCCCCTCTGACTACATGCAACAAGCCACACTGGAGCTACTACACTTCCTCCTCTTCCTTTCTACTCCTTCCAGTCATCCTCCCTCCCTCCGCTCTCCTTCACTCCCTCCGCTGGAAAAAGTTCCTCCTGGTTTTTTAGCCTTAAAAGGGCAGAAGCAAACTGGATCCTGGCAGCCCTCCCATTCCCCGGGCTCTGGTTACAGACCGAGGGAGGAGGAGGAGGAGGAGGAGGAGGAGGAGGGAGGAGGACAGGACAGGGGAAGGGAGGCAGAGGGGGGAGGAGGGCCAAGAAAGAAAAGAGAAGAGAAAAGTGCTGTGTGGGACATTTTTAAAGGCCGCACTGACAACAGGCTGAGATGAGTTCACTTCTATGTGAGGAGGGCAGACAGAGGAGGAACGAGGAGAACAATGAGGTTTAAAGAGACATGAGGAGGACGAGTAGAGGTCAGAGAGGCCCAGGAGGTGAGAGGAGGACACGGGCACCGCATGAAGTGATGAACGACGAGGTTTAATATAAAGCACACGGCTTTCAATCCACTGTTTGTTTCCTGGAAACATCAGAACAAATACCATCAGACATGAGAGATGACTGTCGGCCTGGCAGAAATGATTCAGGTCTGGAGAAGCAGAAGCTCTCCAGACGGGATCCTGGCTCAATCTGTTTGTAGTACGGTTGTCAAAAACGTTAAATACTACGTGTT